TCATGATGGCCTCCTCCAGTCACTTGCTCCCCTCTCCCGTGTTTGTGGCTCTCTACATATGCACACCATGCAAACTATTGCGGCGAGTGCCTGCGAGCGAACGAGCGGGAGAAGAAGACGCAGCAGCTGAAGCAGTGATCGCATGCACCACCTCCCACTGGCCACTCGGCGCTGAGACACAATGGCGCTGCGACAACTCCAGTATGGGTGAATGAAGCATTTGCCTTGCCAGGGAACCAACCAAAGGCCGCTGCTCTTCGAACCAAGTACCGAGATGGCACTTGGCTGCACAAGAGTGGCGCGTTGTGGCCCCTTCTTGTCCTGCTACTGTGTGGCCCATGTCCATGCATATGCGCCCACGCTGCAAAGTGCTTGGTGTCGAGGGGGCCCTGGCTTTAACCTAAAAGCAAATGCTTTCACATCACTCCATTTTGATTCCACTTATGGTGCGCCCCTCCTCGTCAGCGAGATTGGCTTCTATCCAGGTATTGTATACACGTACATACGGAGTACCTACCTGCTGCCCGTGGGGCAGAGGCCGTTGGACAAGTCATCGCTGCTGGCGATGGTGTGAGTCGTCATGCGTCCCAGAGTGAGCAGCCATTCGCAGCACGCCACCAATCGCGGCCGCCTCGTCCTCACACATACCGTGCATTCCATCTGGAGCTGGCAGCTAGCCAGAGCTTAGCTGCACCACCACGTTGTTGTCATCGGCCATGTGACGCCTACTTGTACTTTAGTGTGTGATGTGGAGGGGCGCGCCATGAAATTGGCTTGAGACGGACTGCGGCTGCTGCGTTTGCGATGCCCGCACTTGTCCAGACGTATCTATCTGGTATCGACGCGTGCTTCGACGAGGCTGCTGCAACAGGCCTGTCTGAGAGACGCTGTCCCTGGCAGTAGCACTTGAGGAGCCATGCATTCAATCTCCCCCCTTTTAACCACTCAGGACAAAGTATATATGTACTGCTATAATCCTGGCCTCGTCTTTGGAAGATACAAGTATCGGCATGGTATAGGGCAGGGCACTCATCATTGTTCTAGTCTGTTCTTCCTCTTCCCTTGCTATGCACACAACCTCGTACGAGCCATACACAGTACCTACAAATAGGTATGTATGTCGTGATATACGAGGCTCTTTCTGGTACTACTAATTACAGGTATTCATCCCAAAAGTGGTACTACTGGCCATAAAAAGCCCCGACCAGTATCTCCGGCAAGAAAAGGGAAGAAAAAAAAAAAATTACAGGGTTCAGGGACCCATTCTTTTAGCAGCTGCTAAAGCCGGAGAGAAGAGATTTCATCCATGCGACAAGGGTCTCCGTCAAATGAGAGGCGTTCGATAAGTCCATGGCCATTATTTGTCGAGACGGAATCATTAAACCAGCCTGGAGATGCAAAATGAAGCCCCTTTCGGCGGCACTCCGCAATACGGATAGGAAGCCCTCGCTTGCTCTAGATCCCTTCACATTGGACGTTGGCAATTGCTCTTTGATCAACAGGAGCATGTGAATCGCAATCTCTCTTACCAAGCGGCGCGTGTGTGATCAGAGCTCAGAATAGCTACAGACCATGCATACGCAGAGGCCATTCTGAGCGCAATCAGCATTCGGCCAATACTTACCTTATATCTCAAGCCAAGGCCAAGTCTCAATCATGTGTGAGCTTTATTGGTATGTATGCACATGTTCTCTTGGCAAGACAAGTTACCACCGAGAATGCTGTGAACGAACTAATTCTAGTATAACGAATAACGAACCAGGTTGATATTTCAAACATTGAGAATCAGCAGCGTGAATGATAGGCTCAGCGTCTCATTATGTTTCCAAGACCTCTCTCTGTTTATAGAAAATATCCACGACGCTATCTGCTCTGGTATTTTCGAATGCTGCCCAATTCCTGATGCTGCTCGACTTGGCGCTGCCAATCTTCATGTTAATGCGGCTGCCCATTCCCGTCAATCCATCCGCCATGAGGACCCTGCTCGCCCTCCCGCACTCCTTAACTCATCTGATTCATTTTAACGGTTCAAAAGAAACAGTACGGAGTCACTATTACCACTGACACTCCATACATAAGTACGAGATACGCCCTAGCAAGCACACCGACGAATAAGGATTACTGCTAGGACCCGAGATGATTGCGACAGTTTCGCCGCCCCCAGCTACGTGAAACATTTCATTATTAATAGACGGATACTACAACTTTTTTTTTTTAGTCTTTCTTAATCTTATTCATCGGTCTGTGGAGAATACGAGTTACAAATGGCACCCTGCAAATGAGTCAAAGAGAGCTGGGATTCTTCCCGGTGGCTGGACGTGCGTTGACGCTCGTTAATGCAGCAGAGACAACGAATGGCTCACAACGAGGACTCCTTTCTGGCTTTCTCTGCGTCCAGCCTATGGCGCCGCCAAGCGGCCTTGTGACGAACAAGCCGCGACTCCACCACTCGGGAGTTGCACGGATCTAGCGTGAGTCCACCAAGGCCGGTATACTTGTACAAGTAAGCAGCCTGTCAAGTCTGTCACAGAGCAGCACTGGATCAATGTCACACGCCTACGAAGCACTTTTGCCGCCATCTCAGAACCACATCTTGATCGCCAAGTCACCCCCCGCTTCGCCAGTTCATGCTCAAAGCAGTGGGGACGGAATCGCGTACTGTACAGTAGAGTTGACGTTGTCGCCTCACGTTGAAAGACGCCGTTGTCTGTTGATAATCCGTTTCCACTTAAGATCTGTCAACGGCGCCTGTCATGGCAGCGCCAGGCACAATCGCTATGCCTATTCCAGGTACCAGACATTATGCAGCAGGACTGAGCGAATCGTATGATGGCTGATCCGTCACTTGAGCTGGCTGGCATAAGCACCAATCTGTTCATCGCTCCCGCCACCGACATGACAGAAATGGAATCTTGGACGGAGGCCGCCATTTCCCGAATCCTACTGCGATATATTAATATCCTGTCCAGCTGGTTGTTCTCGGCCGGCGGCAACGGGCCTGTGGGAAGCCGGCGGCTGCATCATCGTCGAATCGAATGCTATTTCTGTTACGACCAAGAATCTGTTTCAAGTCTGGACTCTTTACCGCGGCACTACTGCTCGATTGGCTGTTTTCTAGCCGGCCTAAGGTGGTGTGACTCTGCATCGGAGCTCTAGCCTGCGAGGACCATCCCTGCGTGCAAATATGCAGCACGGAGTACAAAGTGGTTGCCATGCCGCCGCCGGAAGAAGATCCCCTTGGCTGATACAGGCAGGCCGGTTGGCTTTGCAGAGAGGCTCTTTACCGCATTTACGTTTCAGGCGCACCATGCAGATTTTCTGTTGATGTCATTTTGCCATGTACTCCGTACGGATTGCCCTGGTCCTTTTACTCTATGTGCAACGGTAGTCGCACCTGATACGAATGCTACTGCGTGTATGCCAACCGTATGAGCAGTCACATTTCCCTAGGAGATGAACTCGCCTTTCAGACCCAGTATCTATGACTGTGTAGCAGCGAATCTCTGTGCTCTATCAAGGGCCTATACGCAAAAAAAAGAGAGATGGAAAACTTTTCACAGAAAACGAAAAAGGCTCACTCTTAGTCTCGTAGGGCGTAGATATTGGACATGCACACGCTACAACTTGGTGTAACCCAACAGCGACGAAACGATGCGGGATCCGCGCAGCTAAAGTGTGCTGAACCGAGATTTCGAGTCGTGTGATCTTGTTTAGCTTGGAATTTGCTGGAATCAGTAGCAATGTGCACATGTAATAAGTACCCTGTTGCCGAGAAGTTTCTTCTCTTCCATTCTCTTATCTTGGCTAGGGCCTTGGCTTTGAAGGATTTCCAATTTGAGATGACTTTTTATCTTGGAGTTGGCATGCTAGCCCACTCAAAGTTGCGACAGCACGATTACGCTTTCGTAGCGACGGAGCACGCAAAGTGGTACTGTATCTGCATCTAAAGAAACCTAGGAAAATCCCGCCTCTGTTTTTTTGCCCCTCGAGTCATGATGTTTTCTCTGTTTCCTTTTTCTAAACACATACAGCGTTCAAATAGTTGCTAGATCAACGGGCGTTGGGGGAGAGGTAGATATTCGGTCTTGCTTCGCGATTTCGGAAATGGGCTTGACGCTGGATGAACCCCCCGATGTCGGATATTGTGCGGGGGAAAGGAACAGACGAGATTGCTTTGTAGAGTGGCATTTTCAGTGATCGACGTTTCTAGAATATTTTGGAAACCGGAAGATGATTGCTGTCTTGTCTCTTTTTCGGATACCCTGCAGTTGACGGCGGTTAGAAGAATTGAAACAATATGCCCAAGCTCACAAGACCCAAGTGGCAAGTGGTATATACAAAGAATAGCGCAATTGTAAAGACCAGACATGCTATTTGAACGAATAATAAACTCCATCAAGCATAAGACTAGACCCTTGTTTGCTGTGTTAATTTGCGATCGCTGTGTGATTTGAGCATACATTTAGGCTGTCAACGACGTATCGTGATTCTGTCTCTGGAATCATTGGACCGTAACGATATTGACAAAGGATGCATATAAGAGTCGAGCAAGTCTTTGACTACGCCCACGATACCGTTACCGTAGGAATTAGAGCATAGAATAGTATCGTGTTTATCTCGACAGAGACTCAATCGGTAGATTCTGATCGTTTCTGGTATATTAATTGTGCGTTGTTGGTACGATATCGAGAGCTGATGGAACTGGACTTCGGTATCGCATCTACATAATCTACAAGGCGAAGTTCGTCATCTTTGCAGAGCCCATTGGAGGCTCGCTTTGTAGTTCGTCCTCTAATAATTACGCCAACGAGGATTTTCGCAGACGGAAGTCATTCACGTTCCGCATCAGTTCCATATTTGGATCTGGCTGGCTTCTCTCGAGCCACCATAGGTAGTCAATCTTATTCATGATCTACCGACGTAGACATGTAAGTTGTCCCATTCCCTATGTTATATATTGTTGCGTCTCTATGATTTCGCGAGCCACTGTCTGTTCGTCTTCAGAGAGGCAGTTGCTTTGATTCCAAAACAAGGAGCGTTCTTGGCTGAGTAGGATAATCGCTAAGTTGATCATCAGAAGTACAGAACAAAATGGCGTAGGCAGGTTTCGTGATTCTCTCGAAGGCATTTTTGCCGGTCTCTGACCAGTCTGATGGCGTTTGGTACTCTGGGGGATACATCGACTCACTGGAAACAAGGAATTGGTTAGAAGAGTCGGGTTGCTCACCTGGTTCATATCAAAGGGTAGAAAATTTGAGCTTTGTTGAACATACGGCTTGGTACCCATGTGATTTGTGAGTATACTCTTGAGAAGTAATCTATACAACCGGTAGTGCCAGATCGAAAAATCTATACAACCGGTAGTTCGATCTGGCACTTCAGTGTTGCTTCTGCTTGCTTGCTGGGAATTGTCCCGCTGTTCGAACGCATCGTAGGGCGTCATCTTTGTAGAATACGTAAGGATTGAGTTGCAATGGTCATCGATATAAGCTCGAGGTACGTATTGCTTTTTTACTTGAGCTGCTGGGGCTGAACAGAGGCATGAAAGTAACCTGGTTGTATCATCTTCTAGTCCCTTTCCCCCGATGCTGCTATTCAAACAGTATAATATGCATATGTAAAAGTACTCGTAAATATGTATTGAAAACTGGAATACTCGGGTTTGAACTCTTGAATGGTCATCGTCTCTTGAATGTTATCTGCTGTTGCTGTGTGCGGTTCTTTGGATTCTGTGATCGGTTTGTGGCATCGCCATTTTTTTGACGAAACGCATAATTTTCGAGGTTACTTTCGTGATTATTGCTAGAAATAACTATTTCCAATGTCAGAGAGTCCTCGAAGCTCTAGTGGTTGGTTTGAAACCATAATCGAAGCTTACGTTGCCTGATTCTCTCCCCAGAGTTACAACTTGCGCTTTGGGTTGATCTTGCAGTGGAGAGACTTCAAGTGAAGCAAAGGAACATGATGAAAGCCCAAATATACAGCTGTTTCAACTTTTGAAATTATGCTCGCTTTGAAACATGACGCAGCGTATCGTTCGGAGAGATGCTCAAGTGGTTTGTTGGCACGCGTCGTGTAGCTGCGAACCTCTATCGCAAAGATTGGCTTCGTGTTGGATGGATAAGAGCAACGTCTGCAATGCTTTGCTAAATGAAGCTTTGGTTATTTCGCTTTTGATAGAACGGCTGATGATGAGCCGTGGATTCTACTCTTCTTTATCTTCACGCTGAGGCTTGGTAGCTTGGTTTGATAACGGCTTTCCGATATTCCAGAGGAAAGACAGGACTAGGCGGGAACTGAAGAGGATAGCGTCTCGGAGAAAAATGACAAGAACGGTCTGGAACTCATTGGTGAGCGATGGCGATGCAATAGAGGAGAAATGGCCAAAGTTGGATGGATACCTACGGTTGTTAGATAGAATCGCTGCCTAGTATCGCCACTGGGGTTATTGCAAACAAGATAGGAGAAGGGGGTGTGGAAGAGGATCGAAAATTCTGTAGATAAAAGAGATAAAATTTCTCGAAATAGTCGAATTTCCTGTTGACAATATGGATGATTGGAAGTGGTGTGGATGTTTGGAGGAGAAAGTTACAGGTTTGGGTGCTAGGAAAAGATCAAAGCCACCGAAATCAAACGCACAGATGGGCGTTGCCGACGAAGTGAACTAAATTCAATCTCCAGGACTGTTGATGAACAATGATGTAGTAAAAAGACAAAGAAAACAGGCCCAGGAGGATTTTCAACCAGGTCCCACTTTGTCAAAGGCATCATGCTCGGTGCGTGCGTCTATTTTTATTCCTGCACCTGAAAGAAGCTACTCGTAGAGATGGAAATACGGCCTGAGAGACTATGATCAAAGCTACTTGTTACTTGGTCTGTCATTGAACAGTATCACGAAAATCTAGAGCAAGATGGATATCTCCAGGTATCCAATTCTGCACCGGCAGCATCACACATACCTTGAGATGTTTGGTTTCTTTATGGAGCTTTTCTGTCTATAGGCTGTGCCAAAACCCTCAAGCCTCTGATACATGAATTAAAAAGGCCGCTGTGATCTATCTCACCTGGAGAACCCAAGTGCTGGGAGTCAGCTCAGGGGGGGTTATAATGCATTTCAGCTAGCGGTGTTAGGGGACTCCTATTCACCAATATTATCAGTTGCTCCTGGAAACGGTAGCCGGCTGTTGATACCTATGTTGTGATGACTTGGAGTGCAGGCAGCGGCCTCCACGTGCCCAAAAATATGAACTTGAAATGCAGCCAAAACTTTTTTCCTCCTCTCCCCCCCGTTGCACTTTCCTTCTCACCCTCCACCCTCCTTTCTCCCGCACACAACACAAACTTCGACCACGCATTTGCTCCCCAAGAAACAACAACGAATCTGCATCGCTCGCTGCAGACATCTGGAACCAAGTTACCCTTTTACTAGATACTGTTGTCTGTTGCTTGGAGATTTTCTTTGGAGATTTTCTTTGGCAACTTCTTCTCGCATCACTTGGTAGGTCCATTTCGACTTCATCTCCATTCCATCCTGCACAATTTCGTACGTGCCGTTCCATCAAAACTCCATTCATTCCATCTACAGAGTAGACGAAACTATCATCTCGTACTCTTCACCTGCCTATTGCTCTCTTTGCTGCCGCTATGCCATGCCTCTTTCCTCCCTCCCAAACGCCCACCCTGCTATTTTTTTTATTTCCTCGCGTACCCACAAGATACCAGAGTTTCTCCCTTCTTCTTCGAAGAGATGAAGTAAGGAGAAGAAGGTACGGTACATAAAATTTCACTTAACGCATGCGGTGATGCTCAGTTGATTTCTACACTCGAATCATCTTTTTGCCCTCTCAAGATATTGCAGAAACCTGCTTCTCCTGTTGGAGAGATAGACTGGAAGTGATTTGGCTGCCGTGATTGATGCATATGCAACCTCTACATATCACTCACCGCCAGATTTGCTGCAAAGTACTCACAGGAGTTGGCCTCCTCTCTGCCCATATGCACCCTTGATCGTTGGTAAAGGACTAGTCAACTATGGCAGTCAAATTCAAGGCTCAGGCAGCTAACGAATCGATATGCAGGCATAGAACTGAGCGAGTCCACGGTTGTCTACAGAACTTGATTGTGCATATTGACAGAATTGGATTTTTGATATACCTCAGTCGAAAAAAACACTGTTCGCGATGGATTCAGACGATGAAGATTCCACGAGTAAGTCCAAATAGTATACACTGAGGTGAGATCCAATTATGAACTAATGATTATCTTAGCTCCCATCTCGTATTACGGAATGCATGAGTCAAGAAAACGTCTTGAAGAGACTGGTTTTCATCCGAGTGTCACACCAATGGCGCCCAAGGAGATTGAGAAAGCAGTAATAGCATACTTGAACGGCCAAGTCAAACGAGAACCGCGTAAAGAGTTTTACGAGTCTCAAAGACTGCGTCTTGGCGCAAGAAACTTGAGAAAAAACTTCAACAAGACTCGCGGCAAGGGTGGTGACAAAGGCCGTGACAAAGGTCGTGGCAAAGGTCGCGATAAAGGCCGAATCGTTCTCACTCAGGTAAATAATGAAAGATGTTGCCGTCCTGGGGAACAGATTAACACTGACACATGTAGGGCCCTTGGTTTAACACTCAAAACTTCACAAATGCCATTGTGGGCAAGGACTCAATCACACACTTATCTGGTATCCTAGCTGTACTACAGCATGCTCATGCAGGACCCTTGATCTTAGATGAGATCTTCAAGGATGGCCACAAGTCCGTGATGAGTCTATCCATGACTTCTGGTAGAATTTTTGGGCTGGTAGGCTCCAATATAGTGAGTCAACATCGCGTCCCCTTTCCGACCTGATGAATGATTACCAAATAAGTCTGACATGCCACAAATAGAAACGGTGGGACTTCACTGCAGCAAATTATATTGCCAACCCCCCCTCATCTGTCATGGTCGTCATGGTTCCTCGGTATACCGTAGGAGACATCCGAGAAGCTCAAGAAAAGTACCCTCTCATGATCCGCCCTGAAGATTGGCACGATGAGCGTCGAAGACTGGAACCCGAGGATCATCCCGATATGTACAAGATTCGTTCGATTGAGGTGGAACATGTCTATTTCAGATGGGGAAACGTCTGGCGAGAAACATGCCAGCGAGCAGCTGGACCTTACTGGGCGTCAGAAGACGAGGTGATTGACCCGCGAACCGACGAGGCAGCAATCGAGTGGTGGAAAGGAAACCACCGCGCCATCAATGTAATGGGCTCGCTAAAACCACTCGACAAGATGTGGTCGGCTAATCAGCTTGAGGGGAATGGTTACAAGCCACATATGATGGCTTACACTTTGGCTGTGGAGAATCTCATCAAATTGAGTAAGTACCAAGGATACCGTCTTGGGCTATTTGGAAAACTCATTCTAACATTCGTGGTAGTGCAGGAACTCTTCAATGCTCGAGCGCATATCCGAGTATTGCATTTGCACGATGTGCCATTCCTTGATCGCCGGGTGCTCGCCATCATTCTCCGAGGGCTAAACCTTGTTACCATGGTGGGCATTTATAATTGTCCTCTTATTCATTTCGGCGATGTGATCCCAATCCTAGACCTCATTCATGAGATAAACATTCAACGGCGCGGCCAAAATATGCCTGAGATTCAGGACTTCGATTTCTTCCCTCACTTTAACAAAGGGATGCCATATCAGCATGAGAATGCGGCCACGTATGGCTTGTCCTGGAGCCCTATGCCAATGGACATAGCCCAGCGAGGTTTCTACGCCATTATCCTGAAGGCTGTGATGAAATCAAAGGCAATGGGTATCGGTCAGCTTTTTTCACCCACCCATGCGTTCATGGAGTATTTGACCAAGGTACCAAACACTCCACTGGGTGTTTACGGCTTCCTAGATGCCATCTATCGATATCTAGAGGTGAAGAAAGACGACCCTACTCGCACCAATCTGAAATTACAGGCAATCTATGACCTTGTTAAACCCATCCGGCTGGCCTTGAATGACCACTTGGCGGACGACTGGCCAAAATATTATACGAAAGTCATGGCAACAACGCTTTTGTGCTGCTCCTCGTGTGGATACGAGACTTTTGAAGAGTTTTTCCCTGCCGGTTCGAAGAATCGGTTGCCACGACACCGACGAATTTGCGGAGGATGCCACTTGCAGCGATATCTTGACGAAGAATGCGACCACTGGAAGATGCAGAAGAAACGGCTGATAGACAAGTTGTGCCCCGACTGGAAACGAGAGGCCTTCAATGAGGACGCACCGCTCTTTGAAGATGGAGCTGGACTGATTCGTCTTAAGTCCACGGAAACAGAGCGTCCATTGCCCCAGTTCCCAGCTTTCGTTGTCGGTGGCTGGCTCCGGATCTCTCCCTACTACGAGCCATTGATGCGAGACAATAAGATCCACTTTGACTCGTTGGCTGGCTTGCCCAGCCTTGAAGATGTCGCCATGGACTTGGACACCATGCAGCGGTGGTATTCAGTGGTTATTCTAGCTCTTAGAGAAGATGTCTTTCGACGTGGCATTCACGAGCTTCGGAACCAATACCCCACAGACAACAAGAAAAAGGGTATTCCCGCATATGGCTCTACGCGAATAGATGGTGGAGCGCCAGATCATCAAGATGAGCTCCAGCCGAAGAAAGGCTATGACGGAAAGAAGTGCTTTTATGACCAAAAAGCGGCTTTGAAGGCGGCTCAGTGGATGACCAACCGGCAGTGGTGAACAGCCCCATCTCTTCTTTCAATCACCTTTTCTTCCAATGGCCTTCTTTTTCTTTTTTCTTTTTGGTTGCTTTTCTGCGCGAGAGAGATTTTCTTTGTTCTTCCTTTCTCAGCTCGTCTCTGAGCTCCTCTTTGAAGTCCTCTTTGAGTTTCTATCTTTTTCTTCTCTACTCAAGACAAGGGCTTTGCGCAATTTGCCTATCTAAAATTTGCTAAACTGGCTAATGAGCCACAGGACAAGGGACTTTGGGGCTTTGGGCACTTTCTAATGCCGAGGAGAGGTTTTTATGTATGAGAAATGTGTATGAAAAATTTGTATGAGAATTTCCAAGTATGCTACTAGGTAGCTATAGTTCATAAAGAGACTTTAAAGACAAGAATACGGCATCTTGGAGAGGTGACTTGTAACACTCAACGGCGACACCTATAACTATGTCATTGAAGGTGATTGTAAAGACATGAACCCATACTTCCAGCAGCTCAATACATCCTTTTTTCCCAACATCCTTTTTACTGCTTTCAAATCTCTCTCGCGTCGCAGCTGAGTGCATGGAGATTCGTGGCGGGAGCTTTCATTATGACAAACCACGTGACGAGCCAATCGCAAGTGCGAGCTCGCAAACTTGGACCAAAAAAATGGCCCGACGTCCAATCCTCCAACAAGCCAAGACTGCCAACCTCGCGACAATGGCATCCCTACTGCGCGCATTCTCAATAACCACAGGGCTATTGCGCTCTGCCCAGGCTGTCAAGCCGCTCATGGCCAGCCCGGCTTCCACCTGGATGGGATGGCTGTCCAAGCCCGCAATTGCAGGATCCCTGCAGCAGACGAGGGGCATGAAGGTTCACAGCTCGGTCAAGAAGAGGTGTGAGCACTGCAAGGTAGGTTGGAAATGGGTTTACAAGCATCGCTCAAGGTGCATGCAATGGGGACTTGTTCGTGGGCTAATGATCAAATTCGCAGGTCGTTCGACGAAAGGCCGGAAAGCGACACAACGGATACCTGTACATCATCTGCAAGGCGAACCCCCGACACAAGCAGCGACAGAGCTAAGCAATTGCAAAAATCTTTGTTCTTTTTTATTTTGACGACGGCGACATATGGGCATCCGGAACAGCTGGGAAACTTTGTACAATATTGGCGCATAAACGGTGACGACGAAACGGGGCGATGGGCAAGAAAACAAAAAGCAAGAAAGGGTCTAGCGAACTGCCGATTGATAGACGACGTTGCGGCGATGGCTCCAGACAGAGACACACGAATCTTTTGAGATTTGATGTTGGAAGAGGCCTTTATATACGTCCTTGAGCAATGACGGTTGGGCTGCCGTCACAAAATGTACATTTTATGTAGTGTTACATACCCCCGATATACCTCTCCATACTTTCCCATTCCGTCTTGCCTATTGATAAAAGGTATCTGATGTGAGACTTGGTTGCGGAGGATTCGAGTTAGCATGGTTAGGTTTTTTTCTCTTCTTTATTTCCTACAGATGATTGGATTGCTGGCGCAGTAAACTTACAATGTCTGTGACGTTGCGATGTCGCTCAAACTCATCGCGGGCATATCTGCGAGACTCGGCTCTCGTCTGAGGATCGGCTATGCGCCCGGTATGTCGCCATATGGTTCGATATAAAGCCAGTGCTTTTGTTCTTTGGAGAAACTGAATTTTTTTGAATTGTCAATTATGAATTGCGACTGTACCTCAATTAATTGATTATAAACTTGTGACGTACATGATCAAGACTTATCGTTGGCTTGAGCCGAGAGGCTGGCCGTTTGGTGGCATAGCCACGGCTGAGATGCAGCAGGCGAAGGCCGGGAATCATTAAGGATTATTCATCGACCAAGGATAAACTATAATACAGTAAAACTAAGAAAAAAAGGGAAAAGAAAAGAAAAGAGTACAGGTTTTTTTCTTCTTAGTGTAATTAATAAAGTTGAAAAAGTTGGCGATAATGTTTTACAAACCACAATAGTGCTGGAGTCGGCCAAACCTCGGGTAGCGGCGCTGATGACTTCTTGATGGCGAATTACACCGACCTTTATGAGCTTTGAAGTAAATCGAAATCTATGTGATTTAACCGCTGCTGGGTGTATATGGTTTCAAGCTGAATTTTATGATGAATTATTCATTATAGGCGAACAACTGGTGACTTTTGAAACTTTAGCGGCAGAGATAAGATAATCGGACCCGGGTCTCTCTGGCTCTGTATTGCAGGCGCATCTTCATTCTCTTTTATCCCAAATAGAGGCAGAGGTTACGCACTATGGCTGAAGAACAGACGACCAAAGTCGCAGCCAAGGCTAAAAAATCTCAAAAAACTAGCCCAATTGCTACGGCCAACGATAGGACCGATGACGAGTTTATTAGAGATTATTTAAAGCCAAGGTATATAGATCCGATGCCCTACGAAGTATATGCTTCCATTCCATATACTCTCATGTCTTTGAGCAGCATGTTCTAATTTGATAACGTCCATTTATAATAGCGAAGGATGGACATCATGGACACATCCCCTCACAAAGCAGAACTATACCCTTGGGCTTCTATCGCCTCATGTTCTCAGCAAAGACGACTTCAAGGCATGCTTCGACATCATTGAGTTTACTAGCGGAGAGGACTATAAGAGCGCTTCGACGGGATGGCATCCCGCTATGAAAAAGAAGGAGATGAAGTCGCCGGACCTGCGATATATCCTAGTCAAAGATGAAAGCGGCACAGTCAAGGGGTTTACTTCGCTGATGCCCACGTTTGAGAACCACGAGCCTGTGCTGTACTGCTATGAGGTGCATTTGTTACCTGAGCTACAGGGGTAAGTCTCCTTGAATTTATGGCAATCTTCGCATATACGTTTCTATAGAAGTATATCGCAATCTGGGAAGTCCCATCAAAGCTAATTACTCTACCTTCCACTCGATGTAGTTCCGGCCTCGGCAAGCACCTCATGAACTTCCTCATCACCATCGCGGAGAACATCCCTTCCACCAAAAAAGTCATGCTTACATGCTTCATCAGCAACACCAACGGCCTTCGATTCTACGAAAAAATCGGCTTCACCAAAGATGGGTTTTCACCTAGAGATCGCGTACTAAGAGGAGGCAAAATTGTGCGCCCTGATTATGTGATTCTGAGTCGTGAGACGGCACATGTTGAGCTTGTAGATGGGGAGATGGAGCTGGAAGATGAGAATTAGAATACTGCAGATAACGTTATAGACAAGACATGGCGAGCGATGGATTCTATATGTTTATGATATCACGCAGGAAAGAGGTCAATGGCCTTATCGCTATCCTAAGAGGCAAGAAAAAAATTTCACAGCATGGCTCGCACATTCAAGTCTCGCAGAATTTTGGCATGCCCTGAGAGGGTAGCCGCTCTTTATTAAATTGACAAATCATTATTCATGTCATGAAAAACGCCATTCCTGCCTCTTAAACCTTGATGGGAGGTCTTTTGTTTACTCGATATCTTTCAAGCTTCTGACCACGTATAGCCTAAACCCAAACTCCCGAAATCAGATACAGCCCTTTCCTTTTCCCTGCCTTCTCCTTTTGTATAAAAACCCCTATCCAGAATTCTTCGTATCGAATCATCGCATTTATGCGTAAAGCTTCTTCTCGTAAGATTCCATGTTCACGTTACCCTCCAACTGAGCGCTGGCTGTGCGAAGTTCAAATCGCAGGGTGCCAGTGGCGGCACACTCATGCAGCTCCTTGAGGCTGCGCATACCGCAGTCCTGCATGGAGTGCTTGAGACCAGCAGCAAGGTAAGGAACAAACTTGGAGATCGATCTAGTGAATGTGTTAGCCTTTACGATGCACCTTTTTATGATGAGCTTTCGCGGTCTTCGACTTACCCTCGGTGAGCCACGGCACCAGCGACACCCTGGGCAACCAAGACACTGTCGCCTTCAGAGAAGTAGCGAGCAGTACCGGCGTTGCTCTTCTGGCTGTCCTTGCCGCCATTACCAGCCTTCTTATCCTGCATAGCATCAATGGAGCCCATACCACGGTAGGCCTTGACCAACTTTCCTTCGCGAGAAACGAAAGAAGTACCAGGAGACTCAGTTGTACCAGCCAACAGGCCACCCATCATGATGGTGGAAGCGCCGAGAGCAAGACCCTTGGCAATGTGGCCAACATTTTGGATGCCGCCATCAGCAATGCAAGGAACGCCAAAGCGGGCAGCGAAGCTGCTGACTGCGTGAACAGCAGCTGCCTGGGGTCGGCCGACGGCCATGACCTCCTGAGTGATGCAGGCAGAGCCACTTCCCATACCAATTCGGAGACCGTCGACGCCAGCAGCGATGAGGCTGGCAGCCTGCTCTCGGGTAACAACGTTTCCACCGATAACATCCAGATCGGGGAACTGAGCCTTGGTCCACTTGATCATCTCAACCTGGTACATGCTGTTGCCTTGAGAGCTATCGAGGATAACAATGTCAAGACCAGCCTCGACCAGCTTCTGCAGACGGAGCTTGTCCTCAGGGCGGGTGCCAATGGCAGCAGCGCAGAGAAGCTGCTTGCTGTGGGGAAGCTTAGAAGCCAGCGGGAAGTGCTGGTTCTTGGTCAAGTCAGAGCGAGAAATCATGGCAACCAGGTTGAAGTCCTTGTCGACGATGGGGAGCTTGCCCTTCTTGGACTGGGACAGGATTTTGTTCGCCTCGGTCAGGGTAACGCCATCGGGAGCAGTGATGAGGTCGTGGACCATGACCTTGGAGACAGGTGCGGTGTGGTCATCTTCGAACTGGATGTCTCGGTTGGTGACAATACCAAGCAGCTTTGAGCCAATCTTTCCGTCCTCTGCATGTCTGAATTAGTAACCAAGTCGCCCATTTGCTTCAGTTGCAAGTATTAGGTAGAAGACATGTGCAGGTCATAGTATAGGTGGTCCTCAGGACAAAAGTCTTTTGGTGGAACGAAAGTTATAATTTAAAAAGGTTTATAATCATGTAATGCGGTGGATGAAGTGATTGGGTGAAGATGTGAAAAATTTTCATACCTGTGACTGGGAAACCACCGAAGCCCCATTTCTCCTTAAGAGCGATGGCCTCGCCAACCGTGGTGTCGCGGGTGATGACAACGGGGTCAAGAATGAAGCCGTTCTCGTAACGCTTGACCTTGCGCACCATGTCGGCCTGAGCCTCGGGAGAGCAGTTGTGGTGGATAACACCCAGACCGCCCTGGAGAGCCATGTGGATGGCCATCTCGTGCTCAGTGACTGTGTCCATGGGCGAGGAGACGAAGGGGGTCTTGAGGGTGATGCGCTTGGTGACGGCAGAGTCCAGGGTCACCTCTGACGCAGGGAAGCCAATGTAGCCAGGCAGGATGAGGAAGTCATTGTAGGTCAGGCCGCCGTGCTTGGCCGTGTCCATGAGCTCCTGTCTGTCGAGGCCATCACGAGTCTTGTACTCTTCCAGCACCTGCAGAGCAGTGGTGTGGTCGAGGATCTTGGCAGAACCGTTGGTGGCGGCCATTTCTTCTGTTGTGTTTTTTTGAAGTGAGAAAAGATGACAGACAAAAGAGCGAGGTTGAAGACGAAGGATCAATCAAATCAGGATAACTTGATCGACTGTTTGGAGTTGATACGGCGCTTCTTCCCGTAGGAAAGAGGAAAGAAAAAAAATTTAAAGCGGACCGCCTGAATTTTTTTCTACTTATGCTTGCCACGCCACAGGGTCCGAGTTTAGGAGGGGCAGCGACTTCAGCGCGGGGCGCTCTAAAATTTCATGACTAGATGCTCTGCTTGATATATAAGCAGCGCCAGAGTTTATACGTCCATTACCCTGCAGTATTGGGTTTGATAGAAGAATTGTTCTATGGGCATTAAATCTCGGGCTGTGATAAAGCCTATTAACGGCAAACTCTACCGTGTGCGAGTATATCTGCTTATCTATAGTACCAAGGCTTATAAGGTTTCTGCAGTTTGGCCGGAAATATTCCCGCGAGTGGGCGAGTTCGTATACAGATGCACTCTTACACGATGCGGTACTCTGCATCTAGATGCTCTTTCTGCAGAAATGAACACGCCACAACAATGCCGCATTTGGACAAAAATCAATATGTATATACTTGATAAGCGCCTAGCTAAAAGCTATTCAACCAAAAACACCCGTAAATGTATACACTTCCAGCAGCGTTAGTAGCTTGCTGTGGCTGCTCTGCTGTAGCCCCTCCAACACCCCGCCGTAGACGAACCCTGTCTGTAGCGCCTAGAACCTGCCAGCAGTACGTCACTTCGGATTGCTGCGCCGGAGTATCTCCGGAACAGTTTGCATGCATGTGCATACGCGGACGGACTAGCGATTCTATTGCCCGCGGGATGGGGAAGCTGTCCGAGGAACTGCAGCCTTGGAGGTCTAATCTGCTCTTTTCTGATCTCACGATCGAGAGCCGTAGATTAGCGCTGTGCCCACGCGAGGCAATGATAGGTCGCATCGCCTGAGTTTTGTAGTTCGTGAGCTTGCGACAGCTGAGCCGCCGACCTTGGCTTGGCCCCTCTTGACCTCAAGCTGCCAGCCGGCGCCTTCGCACGACCGAGACATACGCACCCTCCCGACGACGCGCTGCATGTCGGACAATGTGATGGAATTTGCGATACAATGTCTGATTCTGAAGACGCATCTCCCAATGGGGAGCCAGTGGCGGACTACGAGAACCCAAGTCCTGCCGTAGAAAACGATGATGACGCCGATGTCCCGCAGCTCGAGGAACAAGACATACCAGAAGACCCCAGCTCTGTGGATTTGGAGGAGGAGAAGCATGTCGTAGATGCCACAGTTGTAGAAGCATCTGCTCAGAATGGGGACATTTCCGAAATCACTTCGGCGGACGCCAGCTCCATTGATGCGGTTCCGCGCAGAGCAGGGAGTCCCATTGAGTCTGTCACCTCTGGGGTGGGAGACTCTCCATCGGTCCAGGTATGTGATGCGCTCTGTATGACTGGAGAGATGATCTGACAGGCATAGGGCTCGCGCGTTTCCTCTCCAAGCAGCAGTGTGTTGCCAACAGCTGCGTCCCGTTCAGGGCTAGGCAGCCCGACGCCGTCCTTCCGACCCTTTGATCGACGATTCCAATCCCGCATATCCTCGTTTAACGCCCTCAGCCCTCGTCCCTCGTCTCCTGCATTTGCGGCTAGCCACAGCCGCCACGCCTCTTACAGCTCTAATTTTCCTATAGATCAAGCCGATACAGACACACCATCGCCACCGTGGGAAATCGTAAGGTGGACTAGACTGAAGAAGCTGAATAGCTATGCGTTCTCAGAATCAGCGAAGCGGAATTTTGGGTCGCCCACGTGTCTTGCTGTGTCGGCTTCAATTTTTTTGGGAACCTCCAAAGGCATAATCTTAATGTTTGACTATAGCCAAAACCTAAAACTCATCATCGGCCCCGGGACTAAAGGTATGTTCTGTAAAGACGTGTAAGTGTGCATGGCTGATTTTGATAGCTGTTGAGTCTGGTCCTATTACTGCCCTCGCTGTATCAGCAGATCACACAACCATAGCCGGCGGTCATTCCAACGGAAACATCTTTACTTGGGATACAACACGGCCTTCACGGCCTTTCCTTACAATCCCGCATCTAGACGACTCTCAAGTACAGGATAGGACAGTGGATGGTCATACGCCAGAGGCCTCTGTCATCCATCTAGGATTTCTGGGGACCCGGCACACAGCTCTTGTATCCGCAGATGGCCATGGCATGGCTTTCTCCCATCTTGCCACCAGAGGCACTGGGCCACTAGGCAGAACGGTCAAGACCACGAGGATATTGGGCCGGTATCCCAATGCGCCAATGCCTCCAGGCAAAACAATAAAGCCTAGCACCGTTCTAGCCTTTGCGCCTCTGCCATTGGGAAACATTGAACGTGCGACAGACAAGATGGGACTGACTGCTATGCTTACCCCTTATTTACTTGTCATTGTCTCCACGACCCCAGTGGCGCAGACGCAACACAAGTCGGCACGTCCTAAGGATGTTCCGGCTCACAGCGCGATGACGGGCTGCTTGGCCTGGTTTCCTGCTGTGAACCTTAAAGTTGCAGACTCACACACTGGATCTACCTTCTCGAAAGCAAAACTGGCGTATTGTTGGTCTAATGTGCTAACAGTGCTGGACGTCGAAGAGATTCCTGGAGACGACGCTGATCAGCCACCTTCGTTGAGGTTTAAAGCTCGAAGTAGATGGAAATGTGAGGAGTCCATTGCTGCTGTGCAGTGGCTTAGCCGCTCTGTGTTGACTGTCTTGACGATTTCTCAAAGATTGATTGTTCTGGAGGACAGAACCATGCGCATGACGGAAGCGTTTGATCTATTGGAGAGATACATCTATCACACTGATCTTTTCTCCACACAACTACACACTCTTGTGGAAAATCTAGACGAAAATGATGTATCGATGCATGGGGTTGTAGCCGACGCCTTTTACATGAGCTTCAAAGCATACAAAGGGAGAATGTTCCTCCTAGGTTTCAACGACGTGGCTATAGGCGCATTATCAAATTGGGCAGACCGACTTATTGCCACAATGGAGCACGGTGATTATATAGGGGCTATTCAGCTGGCTACCACCTATTATACTGGCGACGCCAACAAGTTGACCGTCGGCCTCCCCGACGATACTGACCTAAGACATAATATGGTTCGCGACAAGCTCATGGAGATAACCAGCGCCTCTTTGAAATATGCATTTACACAGAGACAAAAGCACAAGGCATCTGTGGATGATGATCATTTGAAGCAACTTGCTGAAACTTGTTTTGTGGCTTGCCAAACTATTGACAATATTGATTTTCTGTTTGAAGAGCTATACGAATGGTATAGCGATGCTGATGTCGAAGGCATATTTCTCGAAACGCTTGAGCCTTATATCCTTGACCAAACGATTACGGTTGTCCCACCTACAGTGGTTAAGGATATGGTAAATTACTATGTTATCAAAGGATGGGAAAGCAGGCTTGAGGAGATGATTTGCCACATGGAGACGGTAACTCTAGATCTGGATCAGCTCACCATTCTCTGCAAGCAACATAATCTATACGATGCGCTTACCTACGTCTGGAATCAAGCTTTGCAAGATTACATTACCCCAATGATCGACCTACTCAATCTACTGGTCCCCCTGATGTCTAACGGAGACTTTATGGCCGGCAGCACGAGCGATGACTATTACGGCGTGAATGCGGTCAAGATATTCCCTTACCTCTCCTATATTCTCACGGGACGAATTTATCCAAGCGGAGAGACAATGGACGAAGAGGTAGCGCATAAGGCCAAGGCGGAGATTTACTGGTTCTATTTTTCTGGGAAAACTATTTCATGGCCCAAAGGCAGCGGCAAAGGGTTTCTCACCAGGACCGACGGAGAAGCAGAGCCTGCATTTCCATATCTGAGGATGATTCTCAAATTTGATGCTCCTAGTTTCCTCAGCGCTTTGAATGAAGCGTTTGAAGACTCGTTTCTGAATGATTCTTCTGAAAAACACTCCAATGGAAATGGATCCAAGATGGACATGCCCGAGGAACAGATCTTTGGCTTGACAATTAATCGACAGTACATTTTGTCAATCTTGCTCGATGTAATGAATTCAACGGATTTTGCCCCCGCCGACACGATATATCTCGACATGTTTATTGCTCGAAATCTCCCCAAATTTCCTCAATATCTGCTGTTCTCTGGCACGACTTTGTCAAACGTACTCACAGGACTATGCAATTACCCTGGTCCCGACCTTGCTGAGGATGCACAGCTGAGTGCTGAATATTTGCTATCAGTTTATCATCCTTCAGATATGCCTGCGTTAATGCCATTGATCAAGCAGGCTGGCTTTTATCGAATTCTGAAACGAGTATACAAAGTCGACAAACAATATGGAAAGCTTGTGCAAACATACTTTGAAGACGCAGAAGACCAAGATTTGGTCTTTGACTGCATTGCGGAATGTTTACGACCTCATAGCGAACTGAGCCAAAGGCAAAGACAGGAAGTGTTGGAAGTTATCGAAAATCACGCAAAGGATTTGCTTGAGCTGAGCCCCGAGCGTTCGGCCTCGACGCTTGCATCGCAGGAGACAGAGCTGCATCAACATATTCTAGCTTCTGCCGCTGACGCCCCTGGATTACAACATGCATATTTAAAAACGCTGCTTGAGCCAGAAGATCCGTTGGCAGATGGGCAACAAGCACTCGATCGGTATCTTGTCGAACAATATGTTCAGCTCATGTGTAAGTTTGATCCACATCATGTTTCAGACTACATCAGTCTCGTTCAGTCAGTCGACCTTCAATTAAACAACCTGTTACCCGTTATGGAAGAAACTGGTGTGGTAGATGCTGCTGTAGTCCTCATGGCCAATGCGGGACAAGTTATCGAGGCTATGGAGCGATTAGTACGGCACTTGGGAACCCTCGAATCCGCTATGGAAGGTCTTTTGCGATCGCATAACACGAAAGATGGGGAGGATGATAGCTCTCTTTCTCTGCAGCCATCGGCCGAAGCCCTTTTGGAGAGCCTGCAAAAGTATGTCCATGTTGGAATCTGGCTGTGTCAGGAACAGACAAAGGCACCGCGGAGGACCAGCGTGGTATCGAAGAATAAGACTGCCCAGGAGAACTTATCCGCAGATGAAGCTCTCTGGCTGAATCTCATCATTGCCTGTGTACAGGTGACTCAGAATTTGGCCCCGTCTATACAGGCTGTTGCCAATGAAGATGTGCTTGACGAAGAGATGCTTTTGGCAAAGCTGCGATCGCTTGTACAGCATACATTCACTTCGTTGCTTGTTTCTACTTCAAGTCAGGCTTCGGATCAAGCAAACGGCCAGCTGGGTGCTGTTACTTTCTCAAACCCTGCATCGAACCTCTCCTTCTTGCGAGTCTTGAGATCGTTCCTCACCCAGGTCGCAGCATCGTCTCCCAGCTTGGCAGACCTTCGTAGCGTTCTTGCGTCTATATTTTCCGCGTATGCTTACGAAGAGTCTATTCTCCGCCTGTCGAATCGTCTTATAGAACGAAACTTGTTCACAAACGTCAACACATCTGTTGAGCTCCGACAGCGTGGATGGAGGCCACGGGGCTCTACCTGCGAAGCTTGTGGCAAGAGAGTCTGGGGTCCGGGCCTTGCTGGCAATTCTGTTTTTGAAGCCTGGGAAGACAAGCAAGCACTTGAAGATGCAGCCAGAAAGCAGCGACAGACACAAGTTGCGGAGCGAGCCAAAGGCCATGCAAGGATCACGGATCGTAGGAGCAAGGGGAAGAGCTTGGACATGCGGCCCTCAAGCATGCTGCTCGAGCAATACGCCGGAAACTCCAATAAGGATCAGCTGCTAGGACCGCTAGTTGTGTTGGCCTGTCGACACATCTATCACCAGACATGCCTAGATGCGTTACAAGAGAAGCAAGAGAATGGCATCTTGCCGAGGGATCTTGATTACAAGTGTCCGATTGATGGAAGAAGTCATATATGATGGGAAAAAGTTATATAGATGTCGTCTATTGTTTGTGTATGTATATGCTAAGCGAGCAAAGCAATGGCGAGTTGTGTCATGGATGACGGCGAATTGAAATGGGTGGCCATTGCCATTCTGCTTCTTTTTGGGATAGGAATAGATAAGAGATATGAAGTTTATGAATTATTTTACCAAACTCTGGAAGCACTTTTATTAATTTTACGGTGGCATTGTTTTGTTTTTCGAGGGATAAGAGTGAGCACATTGACCTCTATTGATGCTTGGAGCCGCTATAAGTTAGTGGCGTGGGGTGCTTCTACAACAACGCGCGCGAGGCTATACTCGGTCACTTCTTATACTTGCCAACTACAACAATCCAAGCAAATCACCTCGACGGCCCTCGCCTGGCCGCATACAATCCCGCCATGTCTGGCTCAGACGTGGACGGATCCGATGGCGAATACATGTCCGACAACCAGTCCTCGGGCTCCGACGACCAAGACTCGCCTCCGCCGCCTCTGTCGCAGAACTACTTTGCGCCTCCATTCTACGGCCGGCCGCCCACGCCTCTGCCCCCATCGCCATCTCTCACGTCGCTCCTCCGTCCTTCGCGCCCGACGACTCCAGATGCCTCGGACGACGACATCGCTCCCGTGCCGCGCACCGCGCCGAAAGTGCCGACGTACGAGTACTACGGCTTCGTGCTGTACCTGTTCAGCAGCCTCATCTTCCTCATGTACCTGCTCTGGAGCTACCTGCCGTCGCCGTTCCTGCACGCGCTGGGCATCTACTACTACCCGGACCGCTGGTGGGCGCTGGCCGTGCCGGCGTTCCTGGTGATGACGGTGGTGTACATTTACGTGGCGCTGGCGGCGTACAACCTGGAGATTCTGACGGTGCCGATGACGAGCGTGGAGACGATTGTGGACGGGGCGGGCGCGTTGGCGATGATTGATTCCAAGGGCAGGCTAAAGGGCAGCGGCAAGCGGGAGAAGAAGTGCGAGAGCAATGGAAAGCTGAGGTGGAGGGAGGTTTGGAACGAGGGGACGGATGCGGTGCTGGATGTGCCGCTGGCGGGGGTCTGTGAGGTGTTGTATGGGGAGGGGAGGGATGTGTCTGATGGTGAAGAGGAGATGCTATGAGATTTTGTGTTTATGGGAATTGAGATTGATTTGTCAAATCATCTATCACGGCGTTTTTGATTGATAGAATAGCGGCTGGAGGATTGAAATTGACACTTGGATGTCAACTTGGTACGGCTGTATACCCATGATTAATTCGGCTAGTATAAGCAACAAATGATATTGCTGCAATATGGCATTTACAAATTATCCATCATCCATCTCATTGACTAGAATTGAACTCTTCACCCGGATATCGTAGCACGTAATGGCTTCTTCGTAGATGCTAGCCTGCAATCTTGAAGCTCCCGTGGTTTAGCGCGCCAAGGGTCCGTCTATAGCGGCATTCCCCACCACAGCCTTGCAGGAAAAAAAGTTGCACGGCTGAGCTACAAAATTTCTAGTGCTATACACAAAGTGCAAGTCCGTGTCAACCAAACACATTTTTGCCTCGTTCCTAGGTAAAATCAAGGCGCAGACTGTCGAAATTTCGCTGCGCCCATCCTTTACGCCAACATGGATATCCTCAAAGTACTGTCGCGCGGTATCAAGAAGAGCGCAAAGTCATCGCTCTCAGGCGGCAGCGCAGTGGGCAAATTGCCCTCCTCGGGAACAAAGACCAACCCGCAGCTCTACCACGACGAAGTTCGCGGCCAGAAACGAAAGCGCGATGTCGAAGAGCCCGAAAGCAAGATCCCAGAAGTGCTCCCCGAAGTCGACTTCTTTGCGCCCAAGGACGTTGCGGAATCGAAACCTGCCAAGAAGGCCGAGGCGAAGAAGGGCTCCAAGCGGGCGGCCAGTCCTGATGCTGAAGCGGGAGCGAAGCTTTTGAGCGCTGACGAGTGTCGCCAGCTGCTGAGGTCGCATCGATTGAAGGTGACGCTGCTGGGAAAACGGGACGAGCAGCATAAAGTCAAGAAGTCGAAGAAGAAGAAGGCCGTCGTCGAGGTGAAGAAGGACAAGAAGCCGCCGCAGCTGAATCCGCAGCCATTGGTGTCGTTTGGCCAATTGCGAAGCACATACAACTTGTCACGCAGGGTAGCTGAGAATCTCTCATACCAGGGCTACCGTGTGCCGACAGAGGTTCAGATGGGAAGCATGCCGCTGCTGATTCGGCCTGATCTGGCGCTGAAAGGCGAGGAAGGGCTGGAGAATGGCATTGACTTGCTGGCTGTGGCGCCGACGGGAAGTGGAAAGACGATTAGCTTCCTTGTTCCTGCGATTAATAATATTATGAGGAGGAGAGCGCAGGAGAAGCTGCATGGAATTCATGAGCTTGAAGCGATTGTGATTGTGCCGACTCGAGAGCTTGCGTATCAGATTGTCAATGTTGGGAATCAGCTGGTCAAGGGAACTGGACTCAAAATTCTCGGAATGAGAAAGGGCATGATTCTTGCTGCTGAAAGTCAAGACATTGGTGAGGATGACTCGGACGACGACGAAGAAAAGCCAGAGGAGTCTGAAAATGAAGAAGAAGAAGATGACGAGGAGGAAGAGGAGGAGGATGATGATGAGAAAAAGAGAAAGAGCAGGAAGCCCAAAGTCATGTCAAAAGTGGATATTTTGATCACAACGCCTCTTCTGCTGCTCAACTTCCTGACTTCTGGATCGGCGAGCACACAAAAGGTTCTACCAACGGTTCGCGATCTGATATTGGACGAGGCAGATGTCCTCCTTGACCCCTTGTTCCGCGAACAGACTCTTGGTATCTGGAATGCCTGCAGCAGCTCAGACCTTCGGCTCTCATTCTGGTCCGCGACTATGGGATCCAACATCGAGACGCTGGTTACTGAAAAGCTGGCTTCGCGGGCAGAGTCTCTGGGCATTACTCAAAGACCATTGGTTCGATTGGTTGTCGGTCTGAAGGACACTGCTGTGCCGAATATTATGCATAGGTTGATTTACACTGCCAGCGAGCAGGGAAAGCTTCTCGGTCTGCGACAGCTCTTACGACCTACTTCAAGCATCGACTCAGGGCCGCCGCTGCGACCGCCTTTCCTTGTGTTTACGCAGACTATTGAACGAGCCACGGCTTTGCAAGAGGAACTCAAGTACGACATTCCCCTCGAGGCGGGTGGTTCATCTAGAATAGCTGCTCTGCACAGTGGCCTCCCCGATGCAGCCCGGGAGGCCATTATGCGAAAATTCCGGGCTGGAGAGATTTGGGTTCTCATCACCACCGATGTTTTAGCTCGAGGTGTTGACTTTGCTGGTGTCAATGGAGTCCTGAACTACGATGTTCCCGGCTCGAGTGCCGCCTATGTGCACCGAGCCGGAAGAACAGGACGAGCCGGCCGCGAGGGCGGCATCGCCGTTACTTTCTACACCAAGGATGACATTCCCTTTGTAAAGACTGTGGCAAACGTCATTGCCGAAAGCGAGAAGCAAGCCGGCAAGACAGCCGAGGAATCTTCAGTGCAAAAGTGGCTGCTCGATGCTCTGCCAAACGTCGGCAAGGAAGACAGGAAGAAGCTCAAAGAAAGGGGTGTGGAGTCGAGAAGAAGCGGGAACACCGCCCAGATTACATCCAGGAGCGGATATGAGCGGCGCAAGGAGCACAACAGGCAGGGTGCTATTGAAGGAAGCAAGAAGAGGAAGATGGAGGCTGGTGAGGATAATGGCAAGGGCAATAGGGATGGCGAATGGGGCGGCATTGATGATTAGCTTTCGCAATATCCGATATATACAAGCTAGACGTGTCGTTTTTATGACGGTTTTCAGTTTCTTTGGAGCTATTCTATATGACCCTTATACTATTGTACATGTGTCTTAACGAAGAAGACGTATTTGTATTTATACACATATCTATACAGCCCATAAATATCGCCTAGTCTATTCATGAGGAAATCGTAGCATCTTATTTCTCATTAGCTTTCTCGTCAGCTGACAACCCAACCACATTTCTCAACGTGCCAAAGCTCAAACAATCGCTGATGCGGTTGGCGCCCGAAAAGAGCATCACTAGGCGCTCGACACCGCATCCCCAGCCGCCAGTAGGCGGAAGACCATAGTCAAGCGCCTTCACGTAGCTCTGGTCGAGAGGGGAAGCTTCCCACTCATCTTCTTCTATCGGCTCAACTGGCTCCGTGGGAGTCTCAGCATCAGTATCCAAGGCAGGCTGCTCTGCGAATCCTACAGTGCCGTCAGGCTTGTTCACGAGACTGCGGTGGACGGCCAGTTTCCTCTGTTGCTCTTCCGGATTGTTCTCCTCCTCATACATGTTGGCGAGTTCTCGGCCGCCAATGAAGAGTTCCGCACGAGCGGAAACTAGTTGATAAGTCTTGGGGCAGAGGAAGCTCTTTGCCAGCGGAGACATGCAGGCGGGGTGATTCGTGATGAAAATCGGCTCCGTGAAGGACAGGGGCTCTATATAAGTCGCGGCGAGTCGATCAAGGAGCTTTGGTAAAGATGTGGGCACCTCCCCGGGAATCTCAATGCCCGAGAGCTTCAGTACGGCGAGGAGCTCGGGGAGAGCGCCCTCTTCCGCAGAAAGCTTTGGGAAGCGAACTCCAATAGCTTCCTCCAAGGCGGGTATAAATTCCACCTGTTTGAACGGCCTGGTGAACTTGCTGAGGTCGATAGGCGGCAGGGTGGTAAGCTGCGTGGATATCAACTCTTGAGAGTGCTTTGCAAGAGTATAGATCAGCTCTTCCGTCTCCTTGATGAGATCAGGAAGATTGGTATAGGCACTGTAGAATTCACACATTGTGAATTCCGGATTGTGAGTGGCATCAACACCTTCGTTTCGGAAAGCTGGACCCATCTCAAAGACTTTGTCTACGCCACCGACAACCAGACGCTTCAGCCATAACTCGGGCGCTATCCTAAGTGCAAGATCTTTGCCTCGGAACTCTGTGGCTCGTGTTACAAACGGCCGCGCAACCGCACCCCCAGCGTTCTCAGCAAGAATTGGCGTCTGGAATTCGAGGAATCGCTTAGAGTGGAAGTGATCTCGGATCTGCTTCATAATTTCGGACCGTAACCTCAGGATGTCGACGACGTCTCGATTCACTAGCATATCGACATGGCGCTCTTGCATTTTGGTCTTGGGGTCTGTGAGCTTCTCTGGAACTTGCTCCATGGATGGGGAGAGAAGCTCAGGCAGCTCGCGAGCCTCTAGGGAAAGCTGCCCTGTATTTGTACGAGTGGCAATACCAGTAACCGCTACCAATCCGTTAGCCCTTGCAGAGGGATCAGAGAAGCGTAATGGGCCTACATATATGGTCTCCAACTTGGATCAAATTCTTAAGGAGGCGAAATTTGTGAACACGAGATTGCTCCTCTGAAGCAACTTTGCTTTTGTTGATCATAATTTGAACTTTTTGAAATTCATTGGTTATGTCGAGGAAGATGAGAGAATTGCCCACAACGCGCTTTGATCGAATTCGCCCAGATAAAGTGACGAGCTCGCCCGAAAGCCCATCTTGGGATGCTTGCAGAAACTCAGGGACGCTCTTCCTAATAGATGACGATTCTAGTCGAGGATAAGCCTCTGGGTATAGCGGATCATTGCTCCTTTGATCTTCTTGTAATTCTTTCCTTCGATGTCTCTTGAACGGCGAGACGCCATCTTCATCCTGCTCTTGCTGCTCCTCTTTTGCAAACCTCGAAGATTCATTGATGTGAATTCCAGGCTTGGCAGAGAAAGCTCGGACTGCCTGTCTGTTTGCAGACTCAAAGCGCAACGAGGGTGGCGCCCAACCCCATGGTGCAGTTGAAAGATTGGCTCTTAGACTAAAGGACCTTGAGCTACCATTCAACGCAGCAGACTGGCGCGCCAGTCTTATGCAGCTGGCGGATCTCATCTCTTCTAAGCGACGGCTGTCAGCTATTGCCACAATAGAGCAGGCGGATTGTGTGAAAATATTGCAGCAGGTTATAGTGATCAGGAAAAGGCAGGTTATTTATCTCTAACAGCAGAGCTGTTTCAATCGCAGCGGTTCTGAAGCGAGATTGCGAATTCATCATGATGACAATTGAAGAAGAAAATGAAGTAGAATAACTTACAAACATAGCGAAGGCACTGGAACATATGCCTCATGTGCAAGAAACGCAGATGCGCATCCAGCAATCCAGACTCCAGTGCTTTGCAGGATGGAAATTTTGTGCCTCAATCGGACAGTGTGGGCTGTTTTTTATTTATTTTTTTCAGTGCACTGGCGCTCCCCCGTAATTGGAGACACCCCGCCAATTGCATGCAGCTCACTGGCTAGCCTTCCTGCTAAGCTCAACACCAAGGCCAGGCTGAAATTTGTTCCGACGCGCCATTCCTCAGTACCTCCAGCCATTGCTTCCAGCTTATACGCGTGTCGTTTCGCATCTCACCAGACCGGCATTGGAGCTTTTGCGCAATCTCTACGAATTGGGCCGCCAACAGTCGCTGCATTACCACGAGCATCGCAATCATGGCCCAGCAGCCCTTGCCCACGTCGGCTCAGCCAACCGACATCTACGGCGGAGGTTCGTTTGTCACTGCTTGTGCAGGGCGAATCGATGCGCTGCACGGGAATTGGAAGTGATGAAGTAAGCTAATATAGTATATAGATGAGGTCTCTGCCCTCGTTCTTGACCCCGGCTACTGCAATACGCGAGCAGGCTTCGCTGGCGAAGATGTCCCCAAGTCAATTCTGCCGTCATTCTACGGCCATGTCACCAGCGACCCTCCCCGAGATCTATTTGGCGATGAGTGCATCATCCCACGAAGCGACTTTGAGGTCCGCAACTACATGAACAAGGACAGCGTCGTAGAGGACTGGGATGTGGCGGCCAAGATGTGGGAATTCATGCTGGTTAAGCGCCTACAGCCCGAGCGACAGACGCCGCCATCGAAGAACAAGCTGAACGACGACGTGAAGGAGCAAGACGGCGAGGGAGATGTCGCGATGGAAGAAGTAGAGACGATGGAGAAGGCCCTAGAAGAGTTCCCTTTGCTGATGACAGAAGCTCCGTGGAACTCGCCCAAGGCGCGTGAAAAGGCCATCGAGCTCAGCATGGAGAGCTGGGGAACTCCAGCCTTCTGGCTAAGCCGGACTCCCGTTCTGTCGTCATTCGCCGCTGGAAAGGCCACTGCCCTTGTCATCGACGTTGGTGGCGCCAACACCTCCGTGACAGCTATCCATGATGGCATGGTTTTGAAGCGATCTATCCAGCGATCACCCGCGGGCGGTCTATGGCTGTCTTCGCAGATTCGCAACATGTGGGAGACTTCCGAGCCAAAAGTTGACTTGGTTCCGACGTTTATGGTTGAGAACAAGTCTCCCGTGGATGCTCTTGCTCCTGCCCAAGCGCGACTACGCGAGTTCCCTTACAAGATCCACGACTCTTTCCGAGCATTTGAAGAAGAGCGGCTGTTGACCGAGTTCAAGGAGTCTGTTGTTGAGGTCTGGCGTGGACCTGGAAGATACGGCGCCGCCGGAAACGAAGAGTACATCAAATCTCAGCCGGGTCGTGTGTTTGAGATGCCTGATGGCTACAACCAGATGTGGCGCGAGCAGCGATTCAAGGTCGCTGAGGGCATGTGGGACGAAAACGCTGGATACCCCGTCCCTGAGTCGGAGCGCCTCACCAAGGCCCAGACCATCCCTGAGCTTATTCGTTCCGCACTCAATGCCATTGACGTTGACCTGCGGGGCAACCTCCTCGCCAACGTCGTTGTTACGGGTAGCACAAGTTTGATCAACGGCTTCAACGATCGTCTAAATAACGAGCTGACAGCGATGTATCCCGGGCTGAAGATCAAGATTCACGCTGCAGGCCTGTCGAGCGAGCGCAGATTCGGTGCCTGGATTGGTGGAAGTATTCTTGCTAGCTTGGGAACTTTCCACCAAATGTGGATATCCAAAAAGGAGTATGAAGAAAACGGAGTTGGCATTGTCGAGAAGCGATGCAAATAGAGGATACAAGGTTCCTAATGCTAGGGGATAAATTTTTGGTGAAGGACAATGGCGTACGGAGTTGGAAGAAAGATGTTAGTGCTATCTATCTATGCTTAGGACATGGGACGCTGTCACTGAGATCTGGCTGGAGATCAGAGGCATGCGTAGATCTAATCGAGTGATTTTGTGCAAATGAGCGGAAAGGGAGCATATTAAGCTAACCCGCAAAGCTGACCTTGATTTCAACTTCGTCCAATCGTCCAGGTTCCAGCTCCATATCCTTCCACGCCCTTTCTATGTTGATTTCGAGTACATGCTGATCGCTTTGTGATACGCCCACGGTTTCTACCGGCACGGCTTGGTCCTGAAGAGTGACAATGAAATCTTTTTGGAGTGTCATCTTCGGCAAAGTAGAGATATAAACGCCTGAGGAATGTCATAGTCAGTAAACATCTTGCAGCTGGGAGAGTCGACCCTCTTCTACTAACCAAATACTCCTAGAGCCTTCAACTTGACAGCAACAGACACTCTTCCGTTCTCTTTCAAGCTGATGCTGCTGGCTATAATAGCAACGCTGCCAGTCATCTTGTTAATCAGCCCCATATTCGCAACCCATATGTCCCCATACTTGGGGCCAGTAAGAGGCACAGCCTGGAAAGCTGTGAAGATCTCGTATCCGCGGACTTCCAAAGATCCAACAATGAGCGAAGTCGGATCATCAAGCTTCATCGGCGCCGAAGCCTTCTCTGTGGCGTGGGCTCGGACGATATAATGTAGAGATGGCACGGTGCCTGGGAAGCAAGAAAGGGGAATCAATTCTGTGAGCGGGCGTGCTGAGATGTTGAATATGGCTACCATAGGCGTGCCAGTTTCAGATGCTCCTATAACTAAGTTAACAAGGGCAGTTCAGCTAGGTAGTCTATACATGTTCACTTACCATGGTAACTACCAACTTTAAGAAGCAGGTCATCGTCATAGCCTATGTATGGATATATGGCCTTTCCCAGGACGCTTGGTCTAAATATGACAGTCTTGCCCTTGGGGGTCAGGCCAGTCATTTGGCCTATCAAATCAAGGTTGTGCTCTCCAGGAACGTCAGTGATGTAAATTGGTCCACCACTAACACATCGGGCTGCAGCATGGAACCCAGAATAATCATGTACTGTCTGGAACATATCCCAATCGGGAAGAACGTTGAGATACTCCATGAAGATGCTATTGTAAGCGTTTGTCCATACATGCCAAGGGTGCGACGAGGGAATCTGAGGGAAGAAGTCGTCCGAGTTGCGAACTAGCAAAGCAGGTCGATTTGGTATCATTTGAGAATTGAACAGCGCCTGCGGGATCTGCGACATGCATGACATGGCCTTGACGCTGAAATAGCGAAGAGACGTGAGATTCCACGCATCGAGATATGTGTTGATGAGTTCTCGTCGAACAGAAGCACTGAGCCACATGTCGATCATGAATTGGGCATCTGTCTTGACTCCATCAACGCCAGCATCTGAGAGGAACTGGTAAAAGTCGTCGTAGAATTGACGAACATCGTCCTTGTCAACCACTGTCATTTTGCCTCCGAGAGGCAGATTGCGGCGTTTAGCTTCCTCACGAACTACTTCGATGGTTTTGTACTTCTTGGCTAGCTTTCCATCGGGGGAAATGCCGCCCCAGTATCCCAATAGAGCGTGCCATACTGCAATGTGTTGGATATTTGGACTTTTCTGGCGGATTTTGCTAATGGTTGACTTTAATCCATTAGGGAAAGCTTCCGGCTCGGCCTCGAAGTCAACCCATCCGTATTGAAACTGGCTGGGGCCTTTATAGTCAATTGACTGCCAGTTATCATCAATGATCAGAGACGTGACGTTGATGTTGTGCTTTTCGAGCTTATCGATTGCATCAACGATCTTTTGTTCCGTTAATCTTTGCCCAAGAGCGTTCCATGTACCTGCAGAGTAATCAGTCGGTAACACTTTGAATAGGAGAGAGGTTTGGATGAACTAACAGAATCCAAGTCCATCATACCAGTTTTCAAGCCATTCTGGCCGAACTGCGTCAGAAAGAGTTTTCAACTCTTCTTCCACTGCTTGGTTTGCACTACGAGCTTTCATAACAAGAGTTCTTGCGTGGTACATGACGGCAGCAACGGCTCTTTGGAAGTCATTTCCTTCGGATACGAGGATAATTACCTTTTCATCGGAGGCTGAGTCGTTGCGTACATTTACCGATACGGCGCCGCTGGATGTGTTTTGAAAAACGGGTACTGAATCATTGATTCCCGAAACAGCCAATAAGACCAAGTTTCTACCTTCTGGGCTTTGGAAAGCCAGCAGTATTGCGTCTTTGTCGAGCGAAAAATGGTCTCTACCGTGACGTGGAGCTAGCCAAGGAGACCAAAGTCGAACAACGGCAAACCATCTGGACCCTTGCTCATTAGATTAAAAAACATTCATGGCAACTGGTATGATATGCTCAAGGGCAACAGCACGGGTTTCAATACTGACCTTAGGAAAGAGCCCCAAGGCGTGCCAATTTGAATGTCGGTGAATGAAGACAAATCGTTTTCTGCGGGAGGCACTACGGCTTCAAGTGACCACAATTGGGTTTTCGGCGCTTGGCTCATGCGAGATGCAACTTTCCAGGCATTGTCAAGTCCAGGTATAAGATCGGCCAAGTTATCAGATTCTGTAGGTGCTGGGAGTAACACAATGTGGCCGTCTTGTAACCCTTGTTCGTCGCGGATCCATCTCCAAGGCTCATCATGATTGTGACGGAATTTGATGGTGAATCGGAGAGATTTCTTGAAAGACACTTTTGTAGCATAGTATTCCCTAAAGACTGCTTCTGATTCGGCATGAAGAGCCTGCGGTGTCTCGCTGCTCTTTATCCTGGGGACCTCAGCCTCGGTCCAATCCTCGCCATCGATTGAGTGCCAAAGAGCGACTTCCCAGCTCTCTTCAGCTCGAGATTTTGGTATCTCCAACAAAGCAGTAAATGGCACGCTGCTAGAGCTCTCGACTGAAGTAACCTGGCTCAAGGGAGGGTAGCTTTGGAGTATAGCTTTCATGTTTTCGGGCACCGAAGCCGGCTCAGGTTTTTGCTTTGGTATATAAAGAGTTTTAAAATCGTTTGCAAAGTCATATGTTTCGGGTGCCATTGAGAATGCTATTTGAATATCTTTTCAGACGGTTATTTACCTAATTGGTTGCGTTGAACTTGAAGCTCGCCCCGGCTATGTAATGTAAGTATTTCACTCAACTGTATGCAGTATATGACGATGACCGAAGTAAATAAATAGCATAAATGAGAGATATCATACGCCTCTAATGTTTCATATAACGATTCCTCGTCAAAAGAAGTTGCGAAACAATGGCTAAGGCTTGGGCTGGACGATGTTATGCTGACGAAGAAGCACTAACAGCGAAGACGAATTCCCCGCAGGTAATGGGCAGGACGCTGAAGAGGGGCCAGGAGGGGATGACAATGCGCGAGAGTAATCACGTACGCTCGTTCAACAAAGAAACGAAATCGTCTTCAATTAGTTCGTGGAAATTCTCCAGTATGGTATGTAAATACTATGCTTTAATCGCATAGGGTATATATCATGCCATTAGGTACCAACACATCAACAGGTACTCCATCTCAAGCCGGGCGTGTATGGGGCCAATCGACTGTGGATTCTACAATTGGAGAAAGTATGGATAATCAACTTCTCCATTACTTCCCTTCCAGAATCATTGCAAGTCCATAATTCTTAGCAAGATATCCTTATAATTTCACTGCAACTTGCCAGTATTTGCGCAAAGACCTGCTCCCCAATTCGAATCCGTAGCCTACTGTATATCCCAGCACCAGCTGTGGAGATTGCTCGGATGATGCAGTTAGTAAATCTGTGCGCCTGATTGGACGACCCGGTCGATGTCGTCGGGCGTCGGAGCTGGTCGGAATGACTAAGCAGCCAAAACCTCGAAACTAAGGCCACAACCCGCTCAGCAAAGCTTCTTGCCGAGCAGTGGAAAGATTTCATCAAACCGCTCAATTGACCATTAATCCCCCAAACCTCCGCCATGGCGTCCCGCAGATTAGCTTTGAACTTGTCGCAAGGCCTGCGAGCCCGTTCCGGCTTCTCAGTCGCCGGTTCTCTGCGACGAGGCTTCGCTACTCCTTCCAACGTCGGCAAGACTCAGACAACAACCCTCAAGAACGGCTTGACTGTGAGCGCCAACTCCGGGGGCCAATTGGCCCAGCCTCATGCCGTGGACGCCTGTTTTGCTAACCGACAAACACCAGGTCGCCACTGAGTATTCACCATGGGCCCAGACATCGACCGTTGGCGTCTGGATTGACGCTGGCTCCCGTGCCGAGACCAACGAGACGAACGGCACCGCCCACTTCCTCGAGCACCTGGCTTTCAAGGTGGGATGTCCCGATATGGCATCATACGGACAAAGACGGCTGACAGTTGATTCAAGGGTACCGCAAAGCGATCGCAGCAGCAATTGGAGCTCGAGATTGAGAACATGGGTGGCCACCTCAACGCCTACACTTCGGTTGGTCTTTTTTTCAAACCCATTCCGTCGCAATGGGCTCATCCGGGAAGAAAAATCTCTGAAACCACTAACACCTTGTTCAGCGTGAGAACACCGTCTACTTCGCCAAGGCTTTCAACTCCGATGTCCCCAAGACCGTCGACATTCTCTCCGATATCCTGCAAAACTCCAAGCTCGAGCCGTCCGCCATCGAGCGCGAGCGCGACGTCATTCTCCGAGAGTCCGAGGAGGTTGAGAAGCAGGTTGAGGAGGTTGTCTTTGACCACCTGCACGCCACTGCTTTCCAGCACCAGCCTCTTGGCCGCACCATTCTCGGACCCCGCCAGAACATCCGTGATATTACCCGCACCGAGCTCGTCAACTACATCAAGAACAACTACACTGCCGATCGTATGATCCTCGCTGCCGCCGGTGGCGTTCCCCACGAGCAATTGGTTGAGCTTGCCGAGAAGCACTTCTCCGGCCTTTCCACCAGCAGCCCCCAGACTGAGGCCTACGTCCTGTCCAAGCAGAAGGCCGATTTCGTTGGTTCTGATGTCCGTGTTCGCGATGACACCATGCCCACTGCCAACGTCGCCATTGCCGTCGAGGGTGTTAGCTGGAACTCCGAGGACTACTTCACTGCTCTGGTCACTCAGGCCATTGTCGGCAACTACGACAAGGCCATGGGCAACGCCCCTCACCAGGGCAGCAAGCTGAGCGGCTATGTTCACAAGCACGAGCTGGCCAACAGCTTCATGAGCTTCTCCACCAGCTACAGCGACACTGGGTATGTTTGAACGATGATTGAAAGAATGTATTCGAGCATAAACTGACTGTGTCTATCTATAGTCTCTGGGGTATCTACCTCGTCACTGACAACACCACCCGCCTCGACGACCTTGTCCACTTTGCCCTCCGCGAGTGGATTCGCCTGTGCACCAACGTCAGCGAAGCCGAGGTTGAGCGCGCCAAGGCTCAGCTGAAGGCCTCCATCCTGCTGTCCCTGGACGGCACCACTGCCCTCGCCGAGGATATCGGTCGCCAGCTCGTCACCACTGGCCGCCGTGCCAGCCCTGGCGAGATCGAGCGCAAGATCGATGCCATTACCGACAAGGACGTCATGGACTTTGCTAACCGATACATCTGGGACAAGGACATTGCCATCAGCGCAGTTGGAAAGATTGAGGGTCTGTTCGACTACCAGCGTCTGAGGAACACCCTGAAGCCCAAGTTTTAAGAGTAGAAAGGATACGGAGAGAAGGGGGCGGAACAGTCCAGAAAAAAAAAAGACCGGGTATAGAGTGTATGAGATACCGTTTTACAGGCCTAGTGTACCATAAATTTTCCCATATTCTTACAACCAGGTGTTGCGTGGGCGGGAGTGCATGTGAAAAAAAAAATTTCTTCATTACACTTCTTTTGGATAGTGAGGCAGCAACTCATGCCCCTAAATGTTAATAAGACGATCGATCCCTTTACTAGCGATGTCATGTTTCACGCCTTGACCACAAGCAAATCACGCGGTGCTATGTTTATGCCATTTATCATATACTTTAAAAGTCAGATGGCTTTTATTTGATTAAAGTACCTCAGGAATAGATATAATTAGAGACAGCTATATGTCTCTCCGCACTCCTTATAACCGTCTTTTCCAACGCCCAAAACGCCAACATGAATATGTTTGGAACATCCAAAGTCCAGCTTCGCGCAATTAAAGGTAGCATGAGTCCGAAGAATATGACGCTCAGCTCTCCTCGGCCATCTCTGCATCCACATCGTCGCCAAAGACATCGTCCACCGTCCCGCCCTCGACACCGTCGCCGCCAATATCTTCAGGTTCCGGACCTTCAATGCCTTCCATGGCATCTCCACCCTGCTGAGAAGCTGAACTCTCCTCTTCCTCCTCGTCGTCATCTGCACCCTCTTCACCCCATACGTCCTTGAGACCCCAACCTGTCCCACTAAGAACAAATCTCTCGCTCGGTAGCCGGACGCCCCATTCGTTTGGCACAATTTTAGGTAATGCCACCTTGTTTCGCTCTCGGGCCAGCTCCTGCATATATTCCTTGCTGATGCCGCCTCCGCTGCTCCCTCCCCTGAATTGGTAGCCCAGGCGGGCAGCGATAGCCACTTTCACGGCATTGGCGCTGACGCTGGCATCACCAGACGGTGCCGCCATGGCACCTCCCATGCCGCCAGATGGCTTTGCACCGGCTTGCGTGATATACGGGTCGCCTGTGAGATGTAATGCGTCGTTGAGAACGGAGGAGGTATGTCGGTAGGCGAAGTCCAAGAGCAGGAGGGGTACCCGCTGCTCGTAGGATGTGACGCCTTGGGAGGTAAGCAGAAGCTCAACAAGTCGTGAGTCACGCGGCCTGGGCGCCGACGAGGGCTGCTGGTGCGTTGAAGGCTGTGCGGATTGAGAAGAAGAAGCGGCGGCGGCGGCGGCGGGAGGTTGGCTCGCAGTCGTTGTCTGGGTGTTGGGAACTGTTTGAGATGTGTTGGCAGACGAGGCTGGCACGCCATTTGTCTGCGGCTGGCTTGAAGACATGGTTGAGATATGGTATTGAGTAGAGGATTAAGATGAAATCAATATGATAGGTTGATTGAGAGAGCGAGAGACGAGGCTGATAAGAGCAGCTGAGAGCTCATGCGCCAACGTAAAGTCGAGTTGCGTGCTCGGGCAGCGATGGGCGACAAAACAAAGACAGATTAGTATCAGATATATCTCTTCATGGAAGTTGTCAGCTCAGTGGCATTATTAAACGCAGTGAGAAATCCGAAGATGCAACTGCTACACGTCAAACAAGGCTGTACACAGGAAATAGCAAGCTCGGCCAATATCAGAAGTTCAATCACGATCAGTCGCGGCACGGGCAATTAGAGTTGCGGCGCATCATTAATCCGGGCTGTCAATTGATGCTTCGCTGCGCACTTAAACGCTGCCCAATGGGAGCGCTTCAAATTCAGCGGCTGCAGCACGCCTGGAAGGGCTTGGAGGGGCACTCCTGGAGCAGGCTCGGCGTTCTGGAAAGCGAAGCAAGGCCTAAACATGGCCTGCAGCGCAGCCTGTGCTCCCAGCGCAAAAGTGGCGACCCCACCAAAAAATTGACTGCCGCTGATTCAGGTGCCGGTTCCGGTCGATTCGAGCTGTTTTTCAGACGATGGGTTGACTCATTGGCGGCGTATATATTTTTCTGTTAGTTTGAGGTTTCGCTTTTAGGTGTGATTCCCGATTCTGCGCCGCCATCAATTGAGTGATTGTGCTGTTTAACCTTTTCCAATTGCCATCGACAACGACATCGCCAACGCCATCGTCACATCGTCATCCAGCCCACTCTATTTCTGCCCCTCATGGAAACGGTGCTTCCCCTGCCGTTTCTCGTCAGCGTGGCCATTCCTCCCGGCCTGGCCAAGCTTGACGGCCTCAACCGCGAGGAGGTTTCCATTCTCGCCAGCCCCTTCCTCGAGGCGTCGCCCAAGATCCTGGACAAGCTCTCCCGATTCTTCAAGCGCCACAGCTCCGAGTTCCACGCCCACATCGACGCCACAACCCTCGAATCTGCCGACGATGTCTATGCGCTGCTCGATGGCGGCGCCCGCAAAGTCTTTGTTGCGGCCGAGACGCTCCCTCAGTACGCAGAGCTTGGAGACCGAGTGCTGCCCGTTGTATCAACGCTGGACCTGTCTGCCGCCTCCGAGCACGGCCTTCTGATCAAGGATTTCGACGCCAAGGCGAGCAATGTCGACAAGTTTGCTGAAGAAGCCCGCGCCAAGAAGCTCAAGGCTCTCTACCTGAAGCCGATCCCCGATATCGCCATCGAGCAGTTCATTCAGGTTGCGCAGAAGTGCAACGCCATTCCCATCTTGCCCTCGACTGGATTGACAACCGACAAGGCGGATAGCAGCAGGCTTCTGCTTTCCAAGGTCATTGCGACATACTGGAAGTCAGACCGCACCGATGGCCTCATCCCGACGGTAGTTACTGATGTTTACGGAATTGCGCTGGGACTGGCTTATACTAGCGAGGAGAGCATCCTGGAAGCTCTTCGAACCCACACTGGCGTCTACCAGAGCCGCAAGCGAGGACTGTGGGTGAAGGGAGCCACTTCGGGAGACACCCAGGAGCTCGTCCGCATCGCATTGGACTGCGACAATGACACTCTCAAGTTTGTGGTGAATCAAAAGGGACGATTCTGCCACCTCGAGCAGTTTGGCTGCTTCGGTGAGCTGAGTGGCATCGCGAGACTGGAGCAAACCCTCAAGTCAAGAAAAGAGTCTGCTCCTCCAGGCTCATACACTGCCAGACTATTCTCTGACGAGAAGCTGCTGAGGGCTAAGATCATGGAAGAAGCTGAAGAGCTGTGCGATGCCAAGACTCCCGAGGAGGTTGCATTTGAGGCCGCCGACTTGATCTACTTTGCCCTCACAAGAGCTGTTGCTGCTGGCGTGAGCGTAGCTGACATTGCTGGCAGCTTGGACGCCAAGGGCCTCAAGGTCAAGAGAAGAACGGGCGACGCCAAGGGCAAGTGGGCTGAAAAGGAAGGCATCAAGCCATCTGCTCCCGCTGCCCCAGCCAAGCCGGCTGAGGCTGAGAAGCCCAAGAGCGGCCGAATTCTCATGCAGAGAATCGACTCGGTCAACGCTACTGAGGCAGAGCTTCTCGAGACCTTGAAGCGACCCTCACAGAAGTCCCCTGAAGCCATCCTGAAGATTGTGACTCCCATTATCGAGGATGTTCGCAAGAACGGAGACAAGGCCGTCCTTTCATACACTCACAAATTCGAGAAGGCCACTTCTCTAACATCTCCCGTCCTGAAAGCTCCTTTCCCCAAGGAGTTGATGCAGCTCCCTGCCGAGACCATCAAGGCCATGGACACCTCCTTTGAAAACATCCGAAAGTTCCACGCTGCCCAGGGCGACGACAAGACTCTCCAGGTCGAGACCATGCCTGGCGTCATCTGCAGCCGCTTCTCAAGACCCATTGAGAGGGTTGGTCTGTACGTCCCTGGAGGTACTGCCGTTCTGCCCAGCACTGCTCTCATGCTCGGTGTCCCCGCCATGGTTGCCGGCTGCAAGAAGATTGTCCTAGCCTCGCCTCCTCGTGCCGACGGCAGCGTCACTCCTGAAATCGTCTACGCCGCTCACAAGGTCGGAGCCGAAAGCATCGTCCTCGCTGGTGGAGCACAGGCTGTTGCCGCCATGGCCTACGGTACTGAGAGCATCACCAAGGTTGACAAGATCCTCGGTCCCGGCAACCAATTCGTCACTGCGGCCAAGATGCACGTCAGCAACGACACCAATGCGGGCGTGGGCATCGACATGCCCGCTGGCCCATCTGAAGTGCTGGTCATTGCCGACAAGGATGCCAACCCCGCGTTCGTGGCATCAGATCTGCTTTCTCAGGCCGAGCACGGCGTTGACAGCCAGGTCATTCTGATTGCTGTCGATCTCAACGAAGAGCAGCTCAAGGCTATTGAAGATGAAGTCCACAACCAGGCCATTGCCTTGCCCAGAGTGGACATTGTGCGTGGCTCCATTGCCCACTCCGTCTCTGTGCTCGTCAAGGACATTGATGAGGCCATGCGCATCAGCAACGAATATGCTCCGGAGCATCTCATCTTGCAGATCAAGGATGCCGCCAAGGCTGTCGATCTCGTCATGAACGCAGGCAGTGTCTTCATTGGCCAGTGGACACCCGAGAGTGTTGGTGACTACTCTGCCGGTGTGAACCACTCACTACGTAAGTGTCTCTTTTTTCAATATCAATTCTTTTCTTTGTAGACAGCATTGTGCTAACCAGCTATATATAGCAACCTACGGATTCGCTAAGCAGTACTCTGGCGTCAACCTGGGATCCTTCCAGAAGCACATTACCAGCTCCAACCTCACTGCGGAAGGTCTGCGAAACGTGGGCTCGGCAGTCATGCAGCTGGCCAAGGTAGAGGAGCTTGAGGCTCACAGGAGGGCGGTAGAGATTCGTATCAAGCACATGGATGCGCAAAAATAGGGCGAAGAAAGAAAGAAAGAAAAAAAAAAACTTGGAGAAAGGATGGGCTTTCTATGTAAAATTAATTGGCTAAGAAAATCATGGAGCGACAAAACGTCTGGAGAATAAGTAGACGAAGAGAAAACACTGTTTTGGATAAAATATTTCATCATTTATACATGTTTATATATCTATGAGGATATGATGAGATCGCTTGATGCGGAAAACTTCTAAACTTAGCAACAAACCCAAACGTATGAGAACTCCCCATAACCAAACAGAAGAAAAAGGAAGCAAAAAAAAAAAAAAAAAAAAAGGCAACTTGCTCACACCATCTAGTAATAGAACGTTGCTGCAAAATGATGTTTTCTGCTCGCCCTCCGCACGCGTATACAACTTCTTCAGAAAAAAAGAGAATCCCAAAAGCGCCTCGCTATGTAGTTGCTCCAATGTGAAATATGTAAAATGAAAAATCTCCCACCTCTTCGCTTCGGAAAGTCTCCCCTCTCCAACCGCAAAATGCTGCAAATGCATCGCCCTGCAATTGTTTCCCCCCTCTCTTGAGAGATAAAGAGAATCCCGTTCGGCGTAAGATGTATTCCAAGGACGCAAATGTATATGATGAATAGATATGAGAAACAGAGTTCAAACGCATGAGCGTTGAAAAAAAGAATAAGGCGGAAAAAAAGAGTCATAATGAATGATCAAAGACCCATAGATGATTGGGGGTTAAGCCGCCATCATCACAATGGCATCGTGGGGGAACGGATCTCGACAGGTACTTCGACAACCGGCAGGTCTTGTTCTTCCTGCTCGACGTCTCTGCGATCAAACTAAACCCAAACTTAGCTTTTTGTCCTTTTAATTCTTCTTTTAATTCTCAATCTCCTCTTTCACGGATAGGTGACCAACCCCAGAAATGATTTCGGCTGAGACATCTTCCACCACCCGGGTTCTGTCCTCGTCATCATCAGATGCCTCGGCGTCTTCATCCTCAGCGTCGTCCTCGTAGTTTTCCTCATCATCAGCATCTTCAGTCTCGATGCTCTGCATAACAGAGTCCATCATGCGGGCCCCATCAACTTCGTCGTCATCGTACTCATCGTGCGAGAGGTAGCTATCCGCAAGCCCTTCGCCCACCTCCTCTTCGTCCTCTTCTTCTTCCTCGTCAGTATAAGTGCTGCCCTGGTCATCTTCCTCCTCCTCGTCTTCGTCACTCTCACTTGCCGAGAAGTCATCCATCTGGAGAGGGTCATCTCTCCAGTACATGAAGTCGGTGTAGTCTTCCCCGCCACCCCTGACCAGGGTATCAACAGGGGGGAAGTAGTGGTCCACTACCTCATTAATATTGACATAAGTCATCTTGAGTTTATTAAGACTCAGGAGGTCAAGTGATACTTCCGAGTTGGAGTTGATGGTGAAGATGCGGGTTCTTGGCACATCCACCGTTCGGTAGGAAATTTGGTCGGTTAGACGGTTGCCAAAACCGGCATAGAAAGGAGTACCGTCTGGCCCATACAGATTTCGGATGTCCCGTAGAGTTGCCATCTTGAACACGTGAGGCTTCCGCAAGTACACCTCGCGGCGCAGAGCTGCCATTGTGCGATCAGGAGACAAAATTGTTGGGCCGTGGGGCATTTTGAAGCCTTCCTGGACAATATTATTCAGATAAGTGCGGGTGGAGTCGGACTGCCCGACGGAGCGACTGGTCAGGTACATGATGTTGTATCCGTTCAGCGCAATGTCGCTATAGAGCTTTGCAATACCAGAGTGAGTCCAGTCTCGGCCAATCATGTTCAGCACATGGCCAAGAGCATCGGATTTGGTGATGGTGCCGTCAATGTCTGAAATGACGACGGGCGTCTCTTGTTTCCAGAGATACAGATTGGCAGAGCACGTTGCCCGGTTGACTGTGAAGCTCATTGAATTTTCACCGTATTTCAGGTTCATGTCCTTCAATTGATCGCTAGTCAGTCGAAGAGTCTTGGCGTAGCTCTTGACCGGCTGCATAGAGCCGGTTGGGGTTCGAGGAGGAGTGTGCATCCCGCCAGGGCCGGCATCAGACTCTGAGCGGCGGTGGGACGGCACATGTGGCGCAGAGGTGAGATCGCTGCCATCGCTCTGGTAGCCTGGGTCCGACACGGCGTCGGCGGCAACGGCGTGACGGTGAGCCTGTAGCGACGACTCAATGGTCTTGTTCATAGCAGCCTGCTTGGCGTCTTCGCTACTGTAGACCCAGAGATTTCCTTCTTCGTCGAAGCCAAACAGAGCCCCGATGTCGTAATTGCCGTCCATCTCCTCTGAAAGAATGTTGCGTGCGAGCACTTCGGCGCGGAGCATGTCTTCTTCATTGCTCTTGAAGCCTGTCATGTCTAGCATGAGATCCCCTGTCTCGGTGATGTGGGTTGGAATGTTGACGGCGGACAATCCCTTGGACAGCGCCCTGGCGCGCGCGATGGCTTCGCTTGCACCAAGAATCGGTGGGCTATGTGATCTCTCCGATTCCGATGGGCTCTCGTTATCTGAAATGGCGTCGTCGTGGGGCAGAGCTGCTTTTCGCAGAATGGTATCGCTGTGAGGTCGATCGAAAGCTCCGTGCCAGTCGGCAGAGCCAGGGTGTGAACTCGAAAGCGGAGGGGAAGATGATAAAGGTGTAATCATGCCTAGGATCAAGGTCAGCCATGAATATTTTGCTACCAGCAGACGGTATCAAGTGAATGCAAGCAAGCCAAACGTACCATTTTCATCCGACTGCAGTTGAATAACGGCGGGGGTCGGTCTACGTGGCTTCCCTGATTCCCCATCGAGCTCTAGATGATCTGGCTCTGCCATATCTGAAGAGCTATCTGCCGGTCCAAAAGGCGGGCTGCTTGCTGGAGAGACCAGCGGTGAGGTCTGCATCGATTCCGGGATAGAGTCAGAAGTCTCGAAGACGAAGAAGGCCTCGCCGCCCTCGCCCAGCTTCATGGAGTAGTGCTGCTTGGTGCCATTGATCCTGAACTCGACCTTCTTCTCGTATGGGCGCAAAAGCGAAAACTTGCCGAAGCGGACGTGGAAGGGCGAGCAGGCCAAGGTGCCATCGTCGCGCTCGACGACAATAACGTCAATGGCACCGCTCAGAGTCGCCGGGTTGATCGAGTTCCAGGCCGTGGAAACCGAGTCGCTGAGGTTTCGCACGTACTGCATCGTGCCGGATCCAATATTTCGCCGCGACCTCGAGAAGGAGTTTTTTCGGCGGGCTTACACAATGAGCAACGGGTAACAGCAATCAATGGCAAATGGCAATGAATGAAAGAAAAAGCACGTTTGTACGACGGCCGCGCGCAGCAGTCAGGATGATTCGTAGGAGACGCTCAGACTAATTGGGCCTGGCAAGGTCCGTCGGTTTGGGCACTTGAAGTACTTTGTGAGAATGGCAAACGGAGAGCAAACGGAGAGGAATTGGGGACCCTGGCAGCAGTGGAGCTCTGTTGGGAAGCGCGGTAGTGACGTCGGTTTCAGACGGCGCTTTGGCTCCCTGGCATGTGAAATTATGGAACGCCTCGCTTCTCCGCGTAGCAGCGACGACGCGCAAAGGGAGGAGCTGCGAAGCAATTTCGTTGTTTTTGTGTCTCACAGATCCGGGCTGAGCAGAGGGGATCGCGAGATTGAGAAAAAAAAATCCCATATAAAGGCCTCCCCAGCGCTTTTGGAGGCGAAATGCAGCGGCGGCACCGGCCGGTCACCAAAGGCCAATTGTTGAGAACGTGCTGCTCCAACAAGCTGCACTTCGGCTGCAGGCACATGATCCAAGGCTTGGGCGAACATCCGTCCTGACAAGCGCTGTGGGGGGCATGGCCGGCAAGGCGCAGGTACAGGATACCTGGGCTGTACTCGCAGTCCCGCTGTGGCAGCACGTTCCTCGGGGGCCTTACGGTGGCTCTTTGGGCACCGTTTGGGCGCTGTTCAGGGGGTTCTACCGCAGTTGGCATGCCGCTGACAGGCCGCTGACAGGGAGACCCATCCACCAAGATACAGCGGGGAAGCGAGATTTGTAGGGCCGTGTTGAAAGGGCGGAGCCTCACGCGGCGAATCCGGGGTACTCTCGAGTCGCTGGTACCTGGCGCTGCCGAAACCACGCGCCCATCATGTGCTCAACCATTTGCACGGGACATCCAGGCGAGAGAGTAGCAAAAGAACAACGTAATAGCTGCCGGTTGCCACCAAGTACCCCAACAAGCCGAGGCTCCAGGACTTCCTCTTGAAGGTTGGCGTTGACCAGCGTCTGACGCTCAGACGACAGGCTTTCAGCGGCTATTTGCTGGTGCAGGCGTTCTTCATAGGCTCGCTGAAGCGTCCCCCGTCTCACGAAGAGGCTCACCTGACAGACCACACATGCCTGAGATGAGTCGTCGGGGCCAGGGTTTGATCCTTTTGCTTGCTTGCATTTCTCCCGCCACTCTGTACTTTCTCTCGAATCACAGGCCATGGGGCTCATCGTGCGCTCTTCGAGCGAGCAAACCCGATTATAGCCAGCTTACGGCTATTGCGTTGTAAATGAAATATACTGTAGAGTGCCGATTCAAGTACTACTAATGTACGTAATCTCACAATAAGGGAAATGGCGTATGATTGCTGCTACTCTGCATGTGTGAGACATTGTCACCGCATGAAGCATTTGGGCTGTTCCGATGCAGATACCGATACGGACAGATCCTGTTTCAGTCTCGGTACGAAAAGTGTGAGGGAATTAGGGCCAGCGACGAACCATCCGATAATAGTGATGTCAGCTATAATGAAGATCGTCTCGCTCCCCCCACGTATGGATCTGAGAAGAGATCGCAAGGTAATATATCTTGACATCTTGATAGGATGGGACTAGGCGGTAGAGGCAACTGCGGAAAAAGCGCTTGTCGGGAATTTATTGAAATAAATAGAATCACGGGTCGATAGTAAGTTGACCTTGTGTGCATTGATTTTGAGCAACGCCTGCCACCAATGTATTCAGCCTAGATGCTCCGCCGGCGGCTCGTTGCTATAGTACTGGTATCTTTGTAGCCTTTTGTGAGAATACAAAAGCAGGCATCACTCTATGTGACCAGATTTGCAAGCAACAGCTCTAAGAAAAAAACAGCAAGCCTGCAATCGTTTTGAAGGGCTTTTGGTGTGTTTACTTTGAATGTCTTGCACCACCACTTGATTTCAGCCTACTGGCCCTGCAGCCGGCACTCCCAGCTGTGTCATCAAATATTACAAATTTCCATGGCATCAGTGGTGTCTATGCGAATACCAGATAGATAGGTAGATAATACCATTTATCTTGCAACCCAAGCATTAGGACATGCATCAAGTTGTGGCGGCATTTGAGACTTCACAAGCAGAGCCCACCAACAGCTCAGCACCTACTCAGCCACCAGTCTGGGGCTCCATAATAACCGTCAACCCGTCACTATAATCGTATGTTTGTTCAGCCATCAACTAGCAAGCCAATGTATTGAGGGCATTTCACTCGAATTGCCTCCTCTACGCATGTACGTGGCTTGCTGTCCGTCATATTCCATCTCCATTTCGCGGACAAATAAGAAAATGGCAAAGATCCCCCCGCGACCGCTCTTTTGCGCCTGTGCGCGCCCAATCGGCGGCTGCTGGGCAAATAAAATGGTAGCACGGCATGCATCACAGCCCCTCCTATGAATTCAGAGTTGAGTATAAAATCACACAGGGCCCCGAGCACCCAGTAGATAGAGGTACATATTGCCGGCCAGATTATAACAGCTGCCTGGAGCAATTACGTGGTATTTACCAAGCATCAAAGCATCAAGGCAGCAGCGTCTCGATCTATCCGAGCTCCTTCTTCGCTACGACACTTTGGTGGGATATAAAGAAAGCACCTAGACACTTACAAGTTCACGGCTGCTGCCTCGACGATTGCCTAATACGGGCACCTTCTACAAGGACATACCGCATCCAATCCCATTCTCTCCCCTTCGCTCGCCGCCAAGCCGCCAAGCTCACCGATTAACTCGTCGTGAAGCAGCCTTATCTGTGACCTACTTTGGTCTCCCGCAACGTGCCCTAGCAAGGATCGTCACCTCGATCCACATTTTGCATTCAGAGGGCCGCAAAAATACGCTTTTCCGGTGCAAGTCTGCTGCAGCCCGTTATTGCCGAAACGATAAGGCTTTATGCATGTTGTTCGCTTTTTTTTCCTTCTGGTTGCTCTCCCAAGGTTATATCCACTAACTTAGATCCCCTTACCTTAGATCCTTTTTTCCCACGAGGGCAAACTCAAAGTTGGTGGCTGCACAGCCCTTTACATCATCTTCTCACCCCATTCTACCTATACAGCTACTGCTATAGCTCTTACGCCGCATCCCTACCTTGTTATTGCATTTTGCCTTGTGCTTGTCTGAGGGCTGCAAGTCGCCGGGCGGTCAGCAGCACAGTGCAATCCTTCAGCTGTCTCTCTGCCGCCTGTCTGCCGAAGCTCAGCTGTTTTGCCGCTTTACCCACGCGAGGCCGTGCCAGCTCTCGCCATCTTGCACGGCGTCTCGCCTCCAACGTGCCCGGCGGGAAAAAAAAAAGCCCAGCCGTCCAATCGGCGGCCAGCATTGACTGGGGTCGCTTCCAAGACCAGCCAGCCCTGCTACGGTCCTTTCTCCCGTCTGCAAACCTCCAACTACCGACATCCTCCGTCGGCATTTCTGCTCCAGCCCATCTGACGGCAGTGCGCTGAGAATATGTCATGGGAGCTTTCAGCCCTGACGCTTCTCTCCCTCAGCGCTGTTGGCTTCTGGGGGCTCGGTAGTCCCCAGCCCTTCCATCGCAAAGCCTTCTACATCCTCGTCAGCGCCTCGGCTGTCCTGGTCGACCCTCGCCAGGCGATTGCGCGCATGTACACCGGCGCCCACGAGGCCTTTCTCGACTACCAGCTCGATGCTCTGCTTGCTCAACACTTCAAGATGGCCCTTACTTTTGGTGCCGTGCTCTGGTTAGCTCTCCTCTTTTTCCAATGATGTTGTATTTGTCCAAGATTCAAGCCACGTTTTATTCGGCAGCTTCTGCTATGGGTTGCGGGATCCAATTCGACATGCTAACTAAAGGGCTCTTCTTCTTCTTTGCATATAGGCTGCTCCATCGCGGATGGCAAACTCTCTGGAAACCGGTCCCCGAACTTATCAATATTCTTGGTGTCGATATACCTGAACCTCCTGATGTCAGCCTCGCTGGCATTCGATCCGACGCGGCCACTCTCAGTTGGACTCGCCCAACTAGTAATCGGCCCGTGCAGAAATATGCGATTCAAGTCAATGGAGTACACGGTATGTTTTGTTGGCAGGCGTGGCAGGTTGTGGAGTGATGCCAGATGATCTGACTGCTTTTTTTTTTCTCGAACAACAGTGGGCGATTCGCCAGGCAACGAGGTGGCTATTACGGTGACCGGGCTGAAGCCCAACCACTATTACAACGTTCGTGTTGTTGCTGTTGGACCCAACAACTTTCAAGCCGGCAGTGCTCTTCTACGACTGCGCACCTTTGGCAAAGATGGCAGGCCGTTATTGGGCAATTCACGACTCCCTACCAACTTTACGGATCCCGAACAACCCCGACTCAACCCTGGCGAGGATGAAAGCGACGACTCTGACGATGCCTTATTTCCTATGCCAACTGTGGAAGCTGCACCGGTCCTTAACGATAGCTCGGCAAATTCCCGCGAGCCTAATGGGACTGCGCCTGGGCAAAGGCGAAATACAATCAATCGTCGCCACTCACCCTCCGTAGCGAGCTTAGATCAGCCCCATATTAAACTCCCGATTTTCGATGGCCCTGAAATGTCTTTGGACGAGCTGAATTGCAAATTCGAAGGGATTCGGAAAGAGATTGATGACACCCTGGCTCTTTATGCCAAGGACGAGGCGGATTCACAGCAGCAAGAAGAGGAGCTGAAAGGCGAGAAAGAACGAAAGCGGCAAATGTTGAAGGAAAAAGAAGAGCAAACGGCCCAGCTCAAGGCCCTGGTGAGAACTACCATGGAGCAGATGAGAGGAGCGGAAAAGGATCGGGCGAAAAAGGAGCAGCAACTGCGAGATAAGGAAACTAAGAAGTCCAAGGTACGGGATAATGTCTCCAAACTTGACACTGAAACACTGCGCATGAAGCGAGATCGCGAAAAGTTTGAGGCACAAAAGACAGCTTTGGCAGACAAAAGGGATTCAGATGTGCGAAAACTGGACGAGATGAATGTTGAGCTTCTGGACAAGTGCGCTGAACTGGAAGCGGAATTGAAGGACAAAGGAAAGCAGCTACAAGATCTCAAGGCAGCTCGAGAGGAGCTACCTGATGCCCATGATGAGCAGTGGAAAGAGGATGATTTCAAACTGAGGAGGGACTGGGACGCCAGAAGGAAAGAACTGCATGCGCGATGGGCTGCAGAATCCAAGGGGACGTATGAGCTGGACCAGCAGATTCATATGCTGTCCAAGCAGCTAAGGATGGAACAGTCCAATCTGGAATTTCTCAACCACGGAGTTGCTTCAAACGTAGACTTTGAGATGTCTCCGCCGCCTCGGCCTAGGTGTCTGAGCAACGCAAACATGTCATCGCCAAGTCCAGTTATGCCCTCTGAGCCTGGATACCCCCCTCCTGCTGGCTTTCCAAACGCTGGATTCGGCCCAGCCCTTTTCATGGACATGACAGCGACTCACGGCCAAGGTGAGCCCCAGACAGAAGCCGAGCTTAGGGAGGCAAATGGCCCTCTGAGCCCATCGGCGGCCCGCTCGTTTCTTCCCTCCAACATATTTGATGAGATGGAGGAACCTGATCTCAAGCACGGAGATGACTTCCTGCCCGAGTCCATCTCCCAGGGAGAGGATGAAGATGTACAGTCACCAGCTTCCGCTAGTCCGCCCTTTAACATATTTGCGAGCCCCCATGGATCGTCGCAAAACCTGCCTTTTCCGCAATACGCGGAAAATGACGACAGACAATCATCTTTGACTTCGCCGGGCATAATTCATTCTGCTACCTCCCCCCCAGCCACGGGACATAGGTTGTCCAATTTTTTGGCTGTCTTGCGTAACAGGGGTCCCAAGCCTGTGGACGACATGGGCCCTGCGCTTGGCTCTCTAAAGCCGGGGCAGAGCCAATCGTTCCCTCGGGGAACAGATGAGCAGGAGGTGTTGGAAAATCGCCGCAAGATCAACTTTTCTTCCTGGATGAATCGCAACTCGACTGGGCCAGACAACTTTACCGGAACGCCTTTCGCGTCAAGCCGACCTTTCTCGGTGCGTCGACTCATTCCATTCGGTAACAACTCAAGTGGTGGAGTCTTCGGCGAAGGGGATGTCGACGGCTCCAGGCCAGCATCCATTGCCTCCATCGACTTACCGAGGCCATCAACTGACAGTGGTTCTATATGGGGAGTTCAGGGAGAGCAGGGAGGGCTACTTGGCACGAAAAATCGACTGTGGTCTCCGGACAATCGATGGCCTTCCAGAAGCGGCTCCAGGCGCCCGTCTATCCACGGATCGCCATCTATCATGACTACCACCCTGGCCTCCGCCGAAGATGTGATTTTGGACGAAGATGATCTACTTGACCCCCAGACTTCGCCTAGCCAGATTGGAGTTATTGGCTCTCGCCCGCCGACGGCATTAAAGTCTCTCAACCAGCGTCTGAATCCTGCAGCGCCAACTTTCTTTGGATACCACCCCTCAGAATCTGATGCGGACGGGTCCCAGAGTAAAGACGGGAGTAGGAGTAAAGCAAAAGGAAACAGGCCGAAGGGCAAGGAACCTGCGACACCTGGCATGGAGTTTTCCCGTTTCTTGGACGATTCCCCCTCTGATACACGCAAGTCTCGAGACGCTCGGTCTATCCATACGCAGAATTCGGTTACTGAATCTCACGAATCGCTAGCGCTTGACGCAACCTTATCCAACACACCATCCGACCTCCATTCTAACGCTGACTCGGCTGCCAAAGATGCAGATAATGTCGTCATGAAGCTGTTCCGTAAAGGCAGCTCTAGCAAGTTTGGTCTGTCAAATAGACTTGGCAAGGACTCTGGACTGTTTAAAAAGGGGCCCGGCAGCGCAACCCATTCGGATAGAAATGCGTCCGTTGACCATCGCTCTAGTATCGGTGATATTGATGATCTAGGCGAAGATTCTTCTCAGCTCGGTCGTAGTTACGACAGCGTGGGAAGTAGTCCTTCTCTCGGCCCTGCCAAATCTAGGGATTCCAAAGAAAGCCGTATTAGCGGATGGCGTTTCATGAAAAAGAAGGGCAAAGACTCTACTTCTAAGGAAAAGGAAGGCGCTGAAGCCGATCGGAGTCACGAGGAAGAATAAACTGGTGTGCGCCAAGCGTAAAATGGAAGAAAACCACGAGCTTCCAGCGGAGCGGCACCATGAAGCAAATTAGCTTTTAGAAACAATAGCCAACAATCGCTGTATATAATAGCAATGGGTGATTCAGCTCTTGACAACGTGATGCATTTTGAGCTTCCTCGAATCGTAAAACCACTTCCGCCACAGATAATATGATGAAAGACATGTTGGATATTCGATAAAAGCATTATCGATGAAGAATTGCTTTCAATTTAAGTGATCTTATCTACTCCGTAGTTCTAAAGCTCATTGAAGACCCGTTTTAAATTAAGAATAATCAAGATTGGACTAACCCGCACTTGGTAAGGCTGCGTCCGATCAGGAGCTACGCCATGTCGATAAGAGACACTGCCTTGTTCCAGGTTGACACCGGCTTAAGCATCCGCAACGAAACACTGTACAATCGCTACTCCGTGCCACTGGCGGAATTGTCATTTCTTCTCATTGTTGCAGGCTGTTGCATCCAATTCTCAGCTCATTTAACAATCAGTCAATTAATAAATATGAATGGCTCTCTCGCAGACCCCTCGGTATCAAGTCTAGACGCAAGTGAGTCGTAAGCCCGACTGACCAGCTGTCCTCGCAGCTAACAGCAATCTAATGGCACAGTCGACTATGACCCCATTGACCACCTCAACCTCTTGTTTTCGCATCCCTCGGCCGTATCATCGATAAGCCAAGTCTCGCAAGCTCTCAGATACCGCCAGGATGAGCTCTCGTACGAAATCAACGCCCTCGAATCGGCCCAGGCCTACGAGCCGGACTCGAGCCTGGAGCGAATGCGGTCGGCGCAGACGGAGCTCGCGCAGCTCTTTCGCAAAATCGAGACGGTGCGGTCGCGAGCGATAGAGACGGAGCAGAACATCACATCCATGACTGCGGATATCAAGCGACTGGACGGCACCAAGAAGAACCTGACGCTGAGCATGACGGCGCTGAAGCGCCTGCAGATGCTGACCACGGCGTACGAGCAGCTGAGGGGCCTTGCGAAGACGAGGCAATATCGGGAGTGTGCGGGTCTGTTGCAGGCCGTGCTGCAGCTGATGAAGCATTTCAACAGCTACAGGAGCATAGAGCAGATTGCAACGCTCAGCCGTGAAGTGTCGGAGCTGCAAAGGGAGCTGCTGGAGCAGGTCTGCGAGGATTTCGAGATGGCATTTACAAAGGGGGAGGTCAGCGCCAAGAAGAACACGCTGGTGGAAGCTTGCCTGGTCATGGACGCCTTGGGCGAGTCGGCCAAGTCCAGGCTGGTCAGCTGGTACATCAACACCGAGCTGCGAGAGTACCGCCAGGTATTCCGGGGCAACGACGAGGCGGGAAATCTGGACAATATCGGGCGCAGGTATGCGTGGTTCAAGCGTATGATGAAGACGCACGAGGACGACCATGCCGCCATATTTCCTGCGTACTGGCGCGTCAATGAGACGCTTGCTACAGCCTTCTGCGACGGCACGCGCGATGACTTCAAGGGTATCTTGGAGCGCAGTATGCGGCGCCCGGATGGCAACAAGATTGATGTCAACCTGCTCCTCAGCTGCCTACAAGAGACTTTAAATTTCGAACAAAGCTTGGAGAAGCACTTTTCAAACGACCCAAGAGCCAGCATCGATACTCTGAGCTCTACAGAGGAGAAGTCGCACAACTTCAACGGCCTCGTATCGGTGGCCTTTGAGCCATACCTGAGCCTCTGGGTGGAGTCACAGGATAAACAGCTCGCAGCCATGATTCCAAAGTACCGCACGCAGCCTCTCATTCCCCCAGAAGAAGAGTTTACGCCGCAGACGGTCATTTCCTCAGCGCTGGAGCTTTTCCATTTCTACAAGTTGACCTTGTCTCAGTGCGCGAAACTGTCTACGAGCGATCGCCTGCTAGATCTATCAAAGACGTTTGCCAAATACTTGGACGAGTATGCTCAGCAGGTGTTGCTGCGAAAATTACAGTCGAGCGGACAGAAGAGTCCCTCGATGCAAGATGCCGTCTTGGTTTTGAACACGGCAGACTTTTGGCACATCAACACCAACCAATTGGAAGAGAATATCAAGAAGCGCATTGATCCGGAGTTGGTGGCCAAGGTCGATTTATCATCCCAGTCCGATGCTTTCCTGGGCGTAGCAAGCGCTGCCGTGCTGGCTTTGGTGCACATTGTTGAGTTGGACTGTGAGGGCGTCTGGCGGGAGATGAAAAATACCAACTGGAGCACAATGGACAGCGCGGGGGACCAGAGCTCCTGGGTGGGTGAGCTTGTCAATCATGTCAACGGTAAGACGGAAGAGATTCTTGGTATTGTTACAAAGCAGCAATACGCGAGGGCATTCTGCGACAACCTCGTGGACCATCTTGTGACAGCCTTTATCAATAACATTGTCCAATGTCGACCAATATCTGAGGTTGGGGCCCAGCAGGTAAGACATATGTTAACATGAGCAGTCCTTATTTACTGTTATGAGAAATATACGGGCCATGAGAAGCTAATCAAAATCTGATAGATGCTCGTTGACAAATACGCACTTACAAAATCCTTTGGAAACCTGATGTCATATCACAATCCGTCGCCAGCGCAGCAAACGCCATCTGCCACGTTTGTGAGGCGAGTTGAGCAAAGCATGAACCGGATGGACCCTCTGCTCAAGACGCTGCAAGTTCGCCAGTCGCCGCCAGAGGGCCTTGTGCAGGCATATCTCATACATATTGCGGACCGCTCAGACACAAACTTCAAGAAGATCCTGGAGCTCAAGGGCGTGCGCAAGATGGATCAGGTTCACCTGATTGAGCTATTTGGAATCCACCGTGACGGCAGTTCCAACGATAAGCTCGCCCAGAACTCTCCGCTACTGACACCCCTGATGTTGACATCCAGCCTCAGCAGCGCTGGCGGCTTGGGTGCCATCAACACAGCCTCTGCTTCCCTGGGAGGCGGCTCGGCGAGGTTCGATGCAGGGTCGCTGGGCGAGAAACTGCTCAGTGCGGCGAGGGACATTAGCAACACTAGCCAGAGCGGCTCGGACAAGGCCACGATTAATGAGAATTTGAGGAACTTTGGAAAGTTTTTCAAGCGAGATATAAGTGGCCTGGGGCTGAAGTTTGGGATGCGCGATGGAGTTGAGGACGGGCATCGATAGAGGCGCTTCAAGCCTGAACCGAGACGAGTGGCAAGTCGATTTGGATATACCTAGAATATACGTACCTACCTTAGTAGGTAGAAGTAATACCTAGCATCGCAAATAGATGCGAACATTTGCGCTGAAAACGCTGCCAGGCTGGCTTCTGCCCCTTGGACACCCTGTCTTTTTCTTAGAAATCCTCGAAACTTGAATCAGCATTTTATGAACTGCCACAATCTCTAATTTCCAGCGGATTTGATAAGAGGAGCCCAATGCACGGCGGAAATTCGTTGAGATCTAGTCGATTACCAAAGCATCGCAAATAGATGCCAGCATCAGTGCCGAAATCACGTCACCAGACTATCTTCTCTTGACACCCTGCATACTTATTTAGAACTCCTCGAAACTAGACTCAGCACCTAAATTAGCTACTGCTCTCTATGATCTCAAAGAGATTCCAACTTTTCGATGTGGCTTGACAAATAGTACGGGTGACAGCCACCATCCAATTAGGATTAGTCACCTCCGCATTCCTTCTCGCCCCAGCATATTCCACACTGGGTTGCCGAGGACTTGCCGCGAAGAGCTTAGAAATCCGAAGCCAGGCCGAAAAAAAATTGGCTGTGGCTACACAGTGTTGAGTGCCCAGGGGTCCTTTTTTTTTCACAATTTCCAATCGATAGGCAAAAAAGCCCCGCCATCCGCCGAACTCGTCCATAAACCAACCTAAACCACTCTGTTTCTTATTATCAACCATCACGGAGCTACTACTTTTTTTTATAAATAGTATCCCATTCGACGTCACTCCTTTTTTTACTCTCTTCTCCCTATTCCTTATAGAAAAATCGCCCAACCTGTTCGCCTCAAGTTTCCGACGAACGCTTCGTTCGAGTGCCGGGCTATCGATTGCCGCTGCCGCCACCGCGTTTACCAAGAACCCCTCCAAGACACCTGTTGAACAAGGAGCCCGAAAGATGCACAGCAAAGTTGTCGGTATGTACTCTTTCTTCCCATTGGATCTCTCCTATATCTATTTATCCAAGAGAATAACAAAGAATTGGGCTAACTCTCCTGTTTTGTGCAGTCATTGGCTCCGGCCCCGCGGCCCATACCGCTGCCATCTACCTCGCCAGAGCAGAGCTGAAGCGTACGTCTCTACCCATAAACCCAGAATCAAGAATAATACATATACTGACTCTATCGTTCAACAGCCGTCCTCTACGAAGGCTTCATGGCCAACGGCACCGCCGCCGGCGGCCAGCTCACCACCACGACCGAAGTCGAAAACTTCCCCGGCTTCCCCAAGGGCATCATGGGCCAGGAGCTCATGGACAGCATGCGCGCCCAGTCGGAGCGCTTCGGCACCGAAATCGTCACCGACACCGTCACCAAGCTGGACCTCTCCCAGCGGCCCTTTTCCTTCAGCACAGAGTTCAACCCGGACGAGACCCACACGGCCGACTCCGTCATCATCGCGACGGGAGCCTCCGCAAGGCGCCTGCACCTCCCCGGCGAGGACAAGTACTGGCAGAACGGCATCTCCGCCTGCGCCGTGTGCGACGGCGCCGTGCCCATCTTCCGCAACAAGCCGCTGTTTGTTATTGGTGGCGGTGACTCCGCCGCCGAGGAGGCCACCTTTCTGACAAAGTACGGCTCTCACGTCACGGTGCTGGTGCGTCGCGACCAGCTGCGCGCCAGCAAGGCCATGGCCACGCGGCTGCTCAAGCACCCCAAGGTGACGGTGCGCTTCAACTCGGTCGCCACAGAGGTCAAGGGCGACGACAAGGGCCTGATGAGCCACCTCGTCGTCAAGAACGTCGTCAGCGGCGAGGAGGAGACGCTCGAGGCAAACGGCCTCTTCTACGCCGTGGGCCACGACCCCGCCACCAACCTAGTCAAGGGTCAGGTCGACGTCGACTCCGAGGGCTACATCATCACCAAGCCCGGCACCACGGAGACGAGCATCCCCGGTGTGTTTGCCGCTGGTGACGTCCAGGACAAGAGATACCGCCAGGCTATTACCAGTGCCGGAACTGGATGCATGGCTGCTTTGGAGGCGGAGAAGTACCTGACTGAGTTGGAGTAGGACAAGGTTGTGGACTTAGCATATACATAGAATAGAAGGCGTATATATCCCTATATCAGACATACAATTTTGAATTGGAGCACAAAAACCTAGTCCCAACAGACGACGAGTGTAGAAATAAATTCAATGACATTCATCAAACGTGCAAGAGAATTTGCGAAAATAATTTAGAGGCAATACATTTCTGAGACAAGTATCTCAAACAATCATCATACAGCAGGAGTCGTACATATAATACGACGACCCCCACAGTGATGGACCGCATTATCTATGTATCCCAACTCTTTGTCCTTTGTCTAGTCCTTTTTATAATCGTCTGCAGATTGCTCGACAGACTAGATATGGCCTGTCCGCCACAAAGGCCCTCGGCTTCCATAAAAATCATCCATGCCCATGTTACAAACATTACTCTAGTGGTAACCAACGCTGATATCAAAAAACGAAAATTCACAAAATATTTTTCTTTTCCCTTCTCCCTCGTTTTACTCCAGCTCCAGCACAGCGGGGGCTGTGATGGTCTTGCCCTTGAGATGTTCCAGTCCCTCACCACCCTATTACTCATGTTAGTACAAGGCCGGAAGACATATAGATAGCGAGCAAAGCGAAAACTTACATAGCTGATGAGGGGAGAGACCTCGACACCTCCCTCAGAGACAACCGTGGCACCGGCAGCCTGGACCCAGCGAAGGCCCTGGTTCATGATGTCAGCCTTGCTGGTCTCGGGGTCGTCCTGGCCGGTGCCGCTGGCGTTCTTGAGAGGAGAAAACTCGTCGGCACGGTTGACCTCCATGCAGGCAAACTTGTCAAGGGCGAGAAGAGGGAAGCAGTCAAAGACAAACTGCTCGAGCTTGATGCCGTTGGGCTTGGCAGGCTTGATCAGCTCTCCAGACTCGAGGTCGGTGGCAGGAATCTTCTTGCGGGCGACGTGGTGGGGCAGCTTGTGAGCCCACAGAGGGATGCTCTCCAGGAAGCTGAAGGAGTAGTAGTGGTTGACAATGTTGGCGGCGCGGTACTTGAGGAGCTCGGCATTGCTGGGGTCGCGAGCCTCAGCAGTCTCCTTGTCAATCTCGGAGTACTCCACAACGTCAGGCTTGCCGTTCTTGGTGAGGATCAGGCCGACAGACTCGGTGGCATCACGCTTTCGGACGACCTTGGTGGCAATGTCGACGTTGAGGGATGCAGAGAAGCCGATGAAGACGGGGTCGGCGACCTTGACAAGGCAGTTGTCAACACAGTAGGCGTGGATGTGCTGGATACCGCGCTTGCGCATGTCGTCCAAGACGCCAGAAACGATGAGAGCCTGGTAGATGCCGCCGTTGCCATCAGGGGCGACGGCAACCTTGCCCTTGCTCTCCAGAATGATCTTGCCCTCGTTGGAGATGCAAGGCAGGACACCCTGCTCAAAGATCTTGACATTCTCCTTCTGCAGGCCAAAGAAGTTGTTCTCGGCGAAAAACTCCTCGGTGGGCTTGCGGGTAGGTCCGCTGGTCATGACGTACCAGGGAACGACGACCTTGTCAACGCCGGCCTTCTTGGCAGCCAGCTGCTCGACCTTGCGGATACGCTCAGCCTGGATCTTGAAGAGGGGCTTGTGGGAGGGCAGGCCAATGTCGAAGCAGCCCTTGGGAGCAGAGCTTCCCAGTCTGGTTCCCTGGCCACCAGCCATGAGCACGACAGCAACCTGGTTGCTGCCAATGAGGTCAAGGCCGGACTCATACCACTTGTTGATGTCGACCGGGCTCGAGTCAAGGATACTGGCGGTAGCGGACTCGGGGAGGGGCTCAAGCTTGGTAGCCGTCTCCTCGACCTGGGGCGGGTTCAGGGCTCGGTCGGCGATCTGGTTGATGTGGGCTGGGTCAAAGCCAGAGAGCTGCTCGAAGAAGGCAGCCTTGTCGGCAGTGCTCAGGGAGTCGTAGAAGGTGAAGACATGGCCCTGGTCAGCCTTGGTGTACTTGTCCTTGAGCTGGGAAACGGCCTCGGACGAAGGCTCGGCGTGGCCATTGGTGTAGCCGTTGGAGTGGCCATTGGTGCCATTGTGCAGGACATTCTTGATGGCTTCCATTGTGAAGGTGGGAGTGGAAACAGAAGTAAAAAGCAAAAAGTATTAAGAGGCTGATAGATGGCAGAAGATGGTATTAATATAGATAAGGATACAAGCGAGTGTAGATCCCAATGGACAGAGGCAGTGGCGGAGGAGAGGAATCGAGAGAAGAAGACAAAAGGATGATGTCGAGGAAAGCAGAAAACCAGGGAAAGCTCCAGTAAAGTATGCGCAGGAGGCCGGCTTTGGCCAGGAGAGAAAGGAGAAAGCCTTCTGCTAGAGGCTGATGGAAGCGGACCTGCTCTCCACCCCGGGAGTACCTGCGTCGCCCGCCACTCGGCGCTGCAGGCCAGGTTGTTTGCAGGTATCTTGCCCGTACCGCCTACCGAGTCCGTACCTGAGACGCGCCTCTCTCCTGGCTGACGTCGTGCTGCCTCTAGCCACTGCCCCCCTCCAAAGTCGCTTTCTAGGGGGGGCTGCATTAGTGCGAGGAGCTTAACAACAACAAGCCCACCAAACTTTAGCGGGTATCCCCCTGTGAATACCTACATCTACCGCATTGATGCCATTCAGGTTCTTTCTTCAACGGTATCAGCGCAGCACCACAAGTGAATCAAGTGCTATGATAGAAAAAAGTACTGATGCTTTACTGCTGGCTATTGATACATTCTCGGAGATGAATGCACAAAAAGAATCAGTCAATCTCATAAATGACTAGCGGCACAGACTGAGATGAGGCCAGCGGAAATGGCTGCTGCTATTTTGAGCTTCTTAGGAGGCGGTGCGGCAATTGTCTTGTCAGCCCTCCGCCTCGCAGGAACGCTGCAGGCGCATTCTGCATTCACTGTGGGCTTTGCTCGGCCAGCTAAAAGCCCCTAGCGCTGCCAGTGGATTTCGCACCTGAAAGTCGTGGTGGGTGCTCAGCTAGGTACCGAAAAAGGCGATATTTCCAGCCGTCTTAGTCAGGCAAAAAAAGCCCTGGCTGAAGATATTTCGACATCACAGATGTGATGTGCATTGTTGACGGGTTATTATTGTCAGCCAAAACGATGCACTCCTCCATTGTCTTGTTGCTCATCTAATTTCGAAACGAACAACAACAATAGAGAGCCAGTCGATGCTGCGTCGTCTGCATGAGTAGCTGCAGCACATGCGCATCCGAAATGCATATCCGGAGCCGATCTCCCCGTATGGACCCTCCTGAGAAAACGTCAACATGGGCCGGATACGAGCGCCAGGGCAGCGGGCCTCCCGATTCGAGCCGCACATGGTTTTGCGTGTGTCTGGCCCCTATCTTTTGCTCTGTTGATCGGGTGGGATGACGATGATGGGTGTGCGGCGTGCATGTGTTGCATCCATGTGGAATGACTGCTGGCAGCGTGACGTCTGTTTACTATTGCTCTGTAATACGGAGTGAGGTTGATTCGTAGTTGTGATCGTGGTCGGGGCTTTGAGAAATCCCTGTCCTCGGTACTGCTTCTAGAAGTACAAGTATACCTACTAGGCATGGACATGAGAATTTTATCAAAGACGACGCCGGTATCCCTGCAGCAACCAAGTCTACTCAACACGGTCTTGATCTCTGTTTTGACCCGGCTAGCCAACACCCTCTTCTATGCCGGCTTGACGGTGAGAGCCAAGGGTTCGAGCAGGGTCTGCTTCTTCTCACGACGCACTCCGTATGGGGTGCTCCACACATACCTAATATCCCGTACTTGTAGTGCTAGCATCACGCATGTACGACGTACCAGTAATACTTACTTATACAATTCTGCTGTATCAAGCAGTACTTGTAGAATGGTAATCAAGCAGGCTACAAAAACAAGATTTCTGCAAGGGGCGGGCTGCAGCAATGTCGTGTTAGTGTCGAATCGTGTCCACGCCTGTATGGCTTCTGCACGACCTGACAGACTAGAAGTGCACCCCCCTGATCCAACTACGGTGACCGAGATGTTGTGATATTGCAATATCAGAAGTGGCAGCTACTCTGTACCTGTACATCAAATACATCTGAGAACGAGCATCCCAGGCATGGTGTGGGAGTTCACCGCAAGTTCGCTTCATTCTCATTAAGCTGGGACGAGTTAGGATTGGTGGTTCCCCCTGCATGCTGCTTGACTTGTAAATTATCACTACCATCTCCAAGATCAGATACACGGTGCCTAATGGCTCGTACGACCTCCTGAGACAAAGGAAAGAGGAAGAAAGCGACTGGCTCAGCTCTGCTTATCGTGGGAGGTTGGTCCATGTAATTCGTAACGGAAATGCGTGCCAGTCTTTTTTCGGACGAAAGTGGTGAGCGACTCGCACGTGATTGGTGCTGCTGCTTTCGTCCCTCTGCTTGAAATACCTGACTGACTCTGTGTACTCCCTCCCTACTTGCCCAAGTCCACTGCAGAGACAAGCACGTTTGCGGCATCAGTCGACCGACTGGATCATCCCTCCGCTGGATCCCAATTGCAGATGCACGATCTCCGGCCCCGTGCGCGCGGGCCATGGAATGGAACAGTTGGTCTGTGGCTGTGTCGACGCTAACAAATACTTGTTGGTTGAATGTTTCTAGCGCCGGCAGCCTCAGAATCAGCCGCTCCACGAAGCCCGGTCCAAGATGGAGCCCGGATGAAGGATGGGAGAATGCAAAGAGCTGCTTCGAATGAGCTGTTTGCCAATCGATTCTTTTTCGACTCAGCCGCATGTCTTTACTAGTGTCTAGACTATTTACTACCATCATCAATCCCTGCCAAAGGATTCAAGTTTGCTACCCAACGCTCAGGCAGCCACATATAGCGGCTGATTACTAAGTGTGGCACAAATATAGAGCGGCGCCTCCTTTTGTCATCTTGTACCGTTCATGATCTTACAGGTCACTCCAGCGAAAAAGGGAATTTACCAGGCATATTTTCCTGACATGTTCGAAACATGAATCTGAACAAGTCTTAGCGTGCCATATCCAGCCAAACAAGAGCAAAATCCCCGTCAGAATAAGTATTGTCAGCGTCAAATTGGGCACAGACTGGACCTCAGCTTATACACGCCTTCACGCCTTCACGCCTTCACGTCTTACACCCACCGAGTGAATTTGATGAGTCGTTCCGCTATGGAGCCAAAAGCCGAGATTCCAAACGCTGGCCAGAGTGTAGATGCTCCAACTCCTGCAACATTTGAGGGGCGCTTACAGTTGAAAAACTTCATGTACAGCGCCCCGCAGCAGCCCATACGGAGGAGTCCTCGGTTTGCAGCTGCGTCTGAATCACCATCACCATCTTCATCCTCAGCGACCACTGTGAGGAATCCTCCATCATCAAAGAGGAGGCGTCAGACACAAACTCCAGATGATTCGTCGTCGTCGTCCCCGCAGAAAAAGAAGCGCAATCGCCAAAAGTCTGGCTACGCTCCGCCTTCAACTTATGCCCACTTGCCAGAGCTGCCTGATGCCGTCGCGCCCAATCTCCTGGTGTTTTTCATCGGCCTGAACCCCGGCATAGAGACTGCTCGGACAGGCCATGCTTATGCACACCCTTCCAATCTATTTTGGAAACTCCTCTTCTCGAGCGGCGTGACGCCCGTGCCGTGCCGTGCCGATGAGGACAGGCAGATGCCGGAGCGGTTCAGTCTTGGACTAACCAACATCGTGGCACGGCCCAGTCGAAACGGCGCCGAGCTCAGTAAACAGGAGATGGACGACGGTGTCGCTCTCTTGGAAGACAAGGCTCGCAAGTGGCGGCCAGAGAGCATGTGTGTCGTTGGCAAGAGCATTTGGGAGAGCATCTGGCGTGTGCGTCACGGGTCTCCCGTTGGCAAGGCGTTCAAATACGGGTGGCAAGACGAATCTGAGAACATGGGCATCATCAAGGGCGAGTGGGCGGGAGCAAAGGTCTTTGTTGCAACGAGTACAAGCGGACTTGCAGCATCCATGTCCCCGGCCGAAAAGCAGGCTGTGTGGAACCAGTTGGGCTCCTGGGTCAAGACAAGAAGAGCCGAAAGAGAGGCTGAGAAGGAGGAGGAGAGCGAGACTAGGCTAGTAGAGGCAGCAGACGACGCAGATTCATAGCGTTGAATGACTCTCTTAATATGAATTTGTTTTTTAGAAATGACATGGCGATGGTTATGCCGAGGCTCATCGAGGTGCCGCGATAATTAGATCAACTAACGTTGACTAGGTATGATTAAGCGTGCTTCTTAAACATTGGGTATTATACATGATATAATTATAAACCGAAAATATGAATTGCAACAACTTCCTATATAATTTTTTGGGGTTGATCAAGATATGCTTGCTGGTGTTATATATCTTGTATCTTGTTGTTTGCACCCCACCAAGACCAATCATACGCGCCGCGCAAATCCCATCCTCCACCAATATGACATCGTCTCCAAGCTAGCTACAACTTCCAAGCTTCCCAAACTCATCCACCTACAACGCCAAAAACATTTTCTCTCAACGCAATAAATCATTCTAGAGGGAAAACAAGGCAACAACATGTCGTCTATAGGTCCTCATCTCCCACCACAACTCACAAAGAGAAAGCACGACGACGACGACGAATCCACATCCTCGTCAAACAAACATGCCCGTCGCGACAATGACGCTGCGCATCCTCCACGAAACCAAGACGAGATAGACGTCAATGGCTCCGACTCAGATTCAGAAGACGATTATGGTCCTCCCAGGCCATCTACTCTACCAGCAGCGCCTGCTCCTCGCAGCGTAGGGCCATCTCTGCCACCGCACCTCGCCGCCGCAAACAACGACGACGAGATCAATCTCTCCGACTCAGACTCTGATCCTCTTCCACAACCTCCTCCCGCAACCGCCGCTGCCAATCCTCCCAACCCAGCTTCAGACTCTGAGTCTTCAGACGACGACGACGACTTTGGTCCCTCCCTCCCCTCCGCCTCAGCTCCTCGCCGTCAAATCGGCCCATCCCTCCCCCCCTCAGACCTCGACGACGCCCCCAAGCGAGACGAATGGATGCTCGCCCCCCCGCCCTCGTCATCAACCTTTTCCGAGCGCGACACAACCAAGCTCCGCGCCCGCAAATTCGCCTCCAAACCGTCCGCCAAAGCATCCTCCTCCGCCCCCGGCGCCCCGTCAATATGGACAGAAACGCCCGAAGAAAAACTCAAGCGCCTACAGGACGCTGTCCTCGGACGGACGTCGGCGTCTTCTTCTGCCGAGGCCGGCGGCGACGCGTCGGAGCTGCAGCGGAAGAAGCAGCTCCGCGACGAGGCCCTCGCGGCGGATATCCAGGCGCAGCGCGGGAGGACGCTGCTTGAGGAACATCAGGGCGGGAAGAAGAAGGCTGGGGCGGTGGTGAGGCCGGAGGAGGAAGAGGATGATCCGAGCAAGAGGGCGTTTGATAGGGAGAAGGATATGGCGGTTGGGGGCAGGATCACGGCGACGCAGAGGAAGGAGCTGATTAATAAGAGTGCCAATTTTGGGGGGAGGTTTCAAAAGGGGTCGTTTTTATAATGGCGAGTTTGGAGGATGGGCGTTATTTTCATAGAACGATTTTTGCATATAGCAGCCTATGGGAAGGAGAGTACAGTACTTTAAAAAAACACTCACGGGCGTGAAACCTGAACGGTCATATTTAGATACATGAGAATACAATACTTGGAGGAATACATCATCATACTTTACAATCTTTACAATCACTCAAGTTATAGTTCGGTCCCAGACATTTAATTCTTCTTCACATGATCCTGTATATTGATAACACTGGGCTACCAAAAGAGATGTCACTATAGCCACCCAACTCCGCCGCTGATATGTCCCATACCATTTCCCCATCTTCACCCAACGCTGGGAGCTCCCAAAGTGTAAAAAGCGAGAATTTTCCTGTCCCAATGCAGGCTAACAAGAAACAAAAAGCAAAAGCATATGCCCTTTCATACATGATAAGAAACCCATCTCCTTTCATATATAAATGGGGCAAAAATAATCGTCACCGCCCTAATACACCATATTTCCAAAAAGAAGCTATCATATTGTAAAAAGAAAAGGAAAAAAAGATACCTTACCTTTGTTGTTTCTCCATTCAAAGAGCTCATATATACTTTGACAGTTCCCTTTGAGCGGTGGAATGTGTGGCTTTATCGTTTGAATGGATGACAACGGATAGAGAAAGGAGGCGTGAAGCTCCAGAGATACTTTCATAATGCGGATAAATTCCGAGGTGGTGGTGTATGTGACTATGTAAGTCTTTCGTGACGGGTGTGTTCAACACATATGCTGATAAAGAGAGAATACCATCGCTGCCTTGAGAGAAACAGGCCCCAAAAATAGATGAATCGGACCAAAACAGATAAACCAGGTTAAAGAAAACCTCCCAAAAAAGAACAAACGCCAAAGACAAAGGCACAGCAAGCCTCTTTACGTAGAGGTGGCTGGCGGCTGCGTGCCGGCCTCAAGCTGCGACGGAGTCACTGCCGGTGCCGCATTTGTTGTTGAGGCCTCGGTCGACCGTCCGAAGCGGAAAGCGTGTCGAACAGAGGCAAGTAAAGTGCCCTGAGCAGCTGGCTGAGCGGTCTCAGAGATCTGGCTTTGTTGATGTGCTATTCTAGACTCTATCGCCGTAGTCTGAGCCCTTCTCCGGATTGGGAACTGAAACACGGAAGGCCGGGTGCTCGAGTTGTTGTTATTGCTACGGCTATTATTGCTGTTGCCATTGCGGTTACTGCTGCGGTTGCCGTTGCTGTTGCGGTTGCGGCTGTTGCGAGAGCGGCCACCCGAGGATCGGAAGAAGGCCGCTGTCAGACTGGCAGGCAAATTCATGCGAGAGTTCTGACGCGGGTCCAGGTTGGCATTGTTGGCGTTACTAGGCTCATTCTCTGGATTGGGTCTGGGCTTCGGGACGTAGTAGTCGGCCTTGCACAGCGGGCAGCATGCGCGACGGCTTGTCAACCAGGGATCGACGCAGACGGCATGGAAGGTGTGGCCGCATGTCAAGCCGCGGACATCGTCGTCGTCCTCGAGCGTGTCGATACAGATGGCGCAGGTATCGCCGGATGTGTTGAGGAGTTCCGGTGGCAGGGCAGCTGTGATGTGCTCATCGTCTTCTTCGTCATCTTCGTCGTCTTCCTCCTCGCTAGACGTTCGCTTCAAGTGCTCATGCGGCATCACGGGTCCGTCCTCCTCAGCGGTTTCGCCGACGGTGGTAGTTGCATCTTTCTTGTCTTTGCTATCCTTCTTGTTGTCGTCTTCCTTGGCAGTGGTGTCAACAATGACTGGCTCGGCTTCGGTGGTCGGCGATGCGACGGGCGACGCGACATCGTCGACTGCGCGGACCTCGGTTGATGTGCGCTCCTTCTTGGCAATCTCTGGGACTGCGAGGTCTACCTGGTGAATGCTGTTCGGTCGACTAGGCGTGCCAACACCTCCGGCGGTAGGCAGTCCATCTCGAGCGCGCTCCGAAACCCAGGTCTTGTACTTCATCATGGGGAACTTGTCGTTGACCTCGTCCATGGTCATGAGCTTCTTCTCACGCCTTCTTCGGTGAGGTCGGGGCATGTTTTCCATGTGGATGGGTTCACCATCTTCGTTGGTCATGTTTCGAGCCCGGTTGCGAGCGTTGTACCTAAAGCAGTACTTGACGCCAACGATGATCCTGCCAAATGCGTTAGACGAGTGACGAGAATTGTGGGAACAAGACAATCAATTGAGAGGGATATATGCATGTGCGTGTATAGAAACGGGTATGCGTATGCCAAGGCGGCGAAATTGTGCATGCTTACCACAGGTTTGTGAAGACTACGCCAAAGCCCAAGGCGACGAAGAAGAGGAGCGGCGAGCTGGAACCGCTGCTCTTGTTGTTGTTGTTGGAGTTGTTCGTGTTGGAGGGAATGGCCGTCTGCGGGCTGGTGACGTCTGACGACGTGGTCGTCGCGGATTGTGTCGTCGTCGTCGCCGCTCTCACGACAATGTGGGCAACTTCGCCAAGGACCTGGTCAATGACAGCCATGGCTGGTGATTTGTTGCAGAACGAAGAGCGATGGCCGGCGGCAGCGATAGACTCGAGGCCTTTTCGTTTGTTATTTACACGTGCCGAGACACAGACAGCATGGATCGTGCGACGGTGGTCGGGCTCTCTATTTCCAGAGCGTTGCAGAGGCTCGGAGTCGTCGGAGCACTGAGGGGGCGCACCATACAAGGCTGAGGTTGGAGCGCTCTTTTTTTTGTTGGAGTCGTTTGTTCCTTTGCCTGATTGCTTGTTTCTATTCTGGTTTCTTTATAAAAGTCTTCTTTGTGTCGCCTCCAAGCGGGAAAGAAATCAGCGTGAGGTGAGGCGAGAGAGTGGAAAATAAGCACTCGGTCCTCCCTGCGAATCGATAGCTCCAGATGCTGAAGGGAACAGGCGCCTCAAGGGCTGATTGCGCGGCTTACGACACGCGCGGGAGGGAGGAAGTAGGACGGGTGAACTACTAGCAGTATCAGGTGGAAAAAAAGAGAGACCCGGGAGCATCAAATGGACTCGAAACTGCGGAGTGCAGCAGCAGGTGGAGCGCCTTTAAGAGAAAAGAGGGCGGGCGATTCGAGCAGCGGCTTGCAAGTGCGTGAGCGAGCGACGGGCCCCATTCCATTCATTCACCATCAGGAACCCGGGCCTTGGCCGCGACGGTCGCCAGTACCTGTCAGCAGCGTGCGAGCCGGCGCGGCCGCGAGGTACGGGGTACCAGCGCTGGACGAGGGCACCAGGAGAGCGGCTGGAGCCCGCTGCTAACGACCACTGCCAGCTTAGCTGCTCCAGCACTAACGACGGAGCTGCTCCAAGCAACTAGCGCTACCACCACAGCAGGGGCGCCAGTGGTCTCCTCCCCTCTTTTTGCTGCTCACCTTTACAGCAGGTTGGTCGTTGGGCGGAGGGGGCGTGCGCCACTGGCTCAGCGCAATGGACACTGTGTGCTGGACCGGTCGCTGCGCTGTGCTCAATGGCTGTGGCCGGGGCTTGCGCTAACGAGGCCCGCTGGGGGAAGCGCTCCAAGAGCTCAGAGGGCGCTCGCTGGGGGTGGAGCCGGGCCTTGTGTGGCTGCGACGCGCTGGTCTCCAGGGCCGTATTGCCGCTGTAGCGTGAAGCGTATTGGGGCCTGTTTGGCAGTACTACTAGCAGTGAGTACATGCGCCGACGGCGTTGCAGTTGTGCCGGGTTGCTGAACGGATCTGATCTGATGCTGAATTCGAATTTGATGCAGCAGATGCAATTGACAAGTGCCAATTGGCAGCAGGATGAGGCTGCGCAAAGCTGCAATCATACGAGCAAAATACGCACGTCGTATGCGAGACAATTACTACGCATGCACGTACTTTCGTGTAAGCGCACGCGGGACGGTTCGGTCGGACGATCAAGGTCCATCGACGTGCATTTACACATTCAGTATACGGCCACATGTTGGTAGGCATCCTGCGTATCTCAAAAGGGCAGCGCAGCACTGATTCAGCCAGGCCGAGATGCAGCTGAAGCACAAAACTCGATTTCAATCTCGCCTTTCTCTCCCTCGCTTACTGAGTCAGGCTTGAGGCCTAAACTGTGATGCCGCTGCCTCAGTTTCCGCAGCCGTAGCGCCTCTGCCGTCGGCAGGGGCGACAAAAAGCAAAAAAAAAAAAAAAAAAAAACGGCACCAAAAAACGAGCAGAGAATGAGTACACCAATGTGTTCAGCGCCTCAGTCGTAGTCTACCAAAGAGGTGGTCTATATATGAAAAGGTAAGCTCAAGACATGTACAACACGTAAAATACAATGAGGAGAAGCAGTAGAAGCAGTAGAAGATTGCACATGTAGGTAAAGTACATATGGATTAGCCACGGCTAGGGTGTTGAGCTACTGATATCAGCTGAAACCAAGGCAACCCAATGAATTCAATTGTCTCACAATAAGGCCGCAAATAGTGGCAGCAGAATCCACCGCCAGCTACGCTCTGCTCGGGATTTTCTTTCTTTCCTTTTTCCCCCCTTGTTTTCAGGTCCCCCCGTTAACTGATTGGCATGTATCCCAGATGTAGGACCATCTCCTTTGGACATTAGAGTTGCTTACGCAGCACGTTCCTGGAACTCTACTCGAGCCGCTGCCACACACACACACGCACAAGTACGGTAAGCCGGCCCGACGTGAGAAACAAAAGGGAAAAAGAAGGAAAAGTCAAATCGTATCTACCGTATCTGCGCATGCGACTCATTCGGCGTTCAAAGAGGAATAAACTCGGTCTTTTTGGTTCCCTTCTGCCTACAGAAACTCGCTATTGCTCACACTGGGGCCGTGGAGAGATGTGGATCTCGAAAACGCGCCGAACGTTTTGAAGCCGTCAGTCAGCTGTTTTGATGTCATCCTGCCCATACGATGCCGCCCGGGGCGTCCCCTCTTTTGCGCAAAAAAGGTGCGCCGAGTACGGCACCGATCACCGTTGGAACGGCTTCGGCTTCGGTGATGGTGGGCTGGACTGCATTTCAGAGGTCCGGCACTCTTTAAGCGAATGCTTGGCCATGCGGTTCTTTTTGGCTTTATTTTCTGGGACGATGCGTAATATCGAATTGCAGGATTTGGGGATTTTCCTGGGTTGGTCTAGTTGCGCTGACACTGCATGGAGAAGCCTGGTTGGATCTGCCGTTTAGGTGCGTGGAGGCAATGCTTTTGTTCCATCATTGGTATTTGGCATCGGTACTATCGACGCCGGCGATGAAGCGGCGGGCTGAAGACGCTGAGCCTGGCCAAAGGAGAATATTCCAATTTCAATAGACGCTCATATGCTGCTCGCTGGGGGTGTATTCTTCGTCGAAAACTATTTTTGGTGCACGTCGAGACCTCGTGCCGTGTCTCACTCTTCGGCAGAATTACCTTTGCGCCCCTCGGGAGTTGAGACATGCATTGTTCACACAAGGCATAGGCCAATTCTACTTTTTTTACCCCTTTTGCCATGCTCGCTATCTAGTAGTGGTAGTACTCGATAGTATTCCATACCAGCTGCATGCCTGCCCGGTTGCCGGTCGGCCTTTGGTTAGTTGGGAACGGTTCCCGGATGCATTTGGCTTCGTGCCATTCCCGGGTGGCGATATGTGGCTGGCCCGGCAGCACTTTGCTCTGGCAGGCCTCGTGCCTAAGCGCCGTTTTGCAGATCAGAAGAGCGATGCGAGAGTTTTTGCTGCGAGGGCGCATAGTTTTTGTGTGCTTCAAGGGCCAAGATGGTTTTGTCGCTTCGCTTCCAGATCTCGCGACAGTCGAAGAGGGGCGGTGGATGCTGGCGGCTCAGATCAAGATACTACTGTACTCCGTACCATGGCAGAAACAGAAACAGCCCTGGTTCAAAATGTTAATCGTCGACTTGATCTCTGAGCGTGGAGCAGGTATCCCCCGCTTTGCAATTCCCTGTCGACAAGTGCTCGTTTCAGAGGGCCGAGTGACTTGTGTCCCGCCATTACCGGGCGTACTGTAGCATCTCTGCGACGCTGTTGCTGCTGGCGTTGTTATTTCCCGCTATATCCATCGGATCTGCCCTGCTCCGCGACGATGCCGTACGAGGCCATGCCCATTGACAGATACGGAGCCCTCCGGAGTAGACGTCTGTCCAGACAAACGAAGCAATCTGGTTATTGGGAAATACCGAATGGCCCGTGCTGCCAATGTGTTGCGTGGATCAACGGTCAGTGTTGTGCATTTTCAATTTCAATAGTCTGCATGTCTCACTCTCACTCGCATGTGCATGCGTACTCGAGTTCATCTTCTTTCATCCATGGCATCCACCGAGTTTCTCTCCATCCTGCTGTTCAATCGTTCGAACAGGCCACGGCTCCGCCAGACCCTCCCGCCATCAGATGCCTCGAGCGGTTAGCCGCGATAGAAAAAGGCGAGCGCAGTGCAATTGGATTGGGTCGTTTTTGGGACTTTGTGTGCGCGCAAGCATCAGCCTTCCATCAATCCAATGAGGGGGGCGTATCGACTGTGTGCGAATCCCCCACCGCATACTGTGTCCTAGCGTCGATTTTGATGCGGAGCTAATGCCCAGAGGCCGTTTCTTTTTTCCTTCACACCCATTCGAGTCGAGCAAGCAAAAATGGAGTGCCAGAGTGCCTCTTACAGAAGGGATTCGCTTTGCATGGATGACGACAGCATGCACTAAGCGGCCTTGAATTTTGTAAATTTGGAATTGGAGGTTGTTGGTCTTTTTTTTTCGAGATATGGATGCTGATGCGAATGCGAATACTAGATGGAGACTATCTGGAGACGGGACAACGAGACAGCTTGAGCTGACTAACAAGTACGGATAAGCAGGGAGAGGTTAGCACTTTTGACGTGCGTCAAATCGGCATTGGCACTCATGCATGTCGGCCATGTCGTCTTTCCCGTCTTCCGCGATCATGTAAGGGATTGGGGACAGGCCACTATTGATTTGCAATTTGCGGCTGAGGCACGAGCAACGACGCCGAATTGGCCCATGCTGGCTCATATTGCATGTACGATCCTACATTAGTGCGGTACAGCTAAGGTGAAAGGATGGAACATGGAAAAAGCAAAAAGAAGAAGAGGGTGCTAAAAGGAGTAGAACAAGGACAACACTGCAACGTCGTTGATCGGTAAAATATTGCTGGTTGAGACAAACTCTAGGCAGCCTCCTTTCACCACTGACATCATGGAAAACCCTCTCCGGGTAGCCGTGCCTGAGAATCACCGCCTTTCCTTTCCAAACCGATAGATGATGCTAGTTGCACCGCATCAAAAGGATGACACGAAAGCGTGACAAATTGGCGATGGAATTGCCCAAACGGAAAAATAGCCTCATAGTCCCTCTCTTTTGACACACGCATGACCTATTCTTTCACTTCGTCTTATCTCTCTTGTATCCTGAATGTAGAACCTTGTGATGCTCAGTCTGAGATACATCCAATACGACTCTGTTGGCATTACCTAATCCCGCTCACACATCTCTGAAATCCAGCACCAGCTAAGCTTCGCCGCACTCCATAAATGTGTCACCAAACGCACAAAGTAGCTCTCTTTTGCTTCTTTTTCTCCTAGTTCTATTCTAGAATCAAAACTCCGCTAGTGTTTCCCGGAGTTGCAGCAAGCCGACGGCCCTCGGAGCAATATTCGATATATTTTTTTTATTTTTTCCTCTGATTCCAAAAGTCTCCCCATCATCACACGCATGTATATACGCAAAACAGGGCATCGTGACCATTCTTGATAGATCCGCTTTTGCTCTTCCCCCCTCCTTCCCGGGGTGGGTTCCGGATTTCACAATATGCGGATTAATCCCAGCGACAATCCCCCATTTAGCCGCCGTGGCAGCAGAACGAACTTGTTGATTTCTCAGCTCAGTCGATAAGAGACAGAATTGAACTAGAGGAGAAAAGGCATGAGACTGGGGAGACTGGTGCTTATTCAATGCGTGATTATTGCCATGGACCGACTCGACACTTTTGATAGTCGCTAGGAAAATACGAATAGCTGGCGACTTTGTTTGTTTCATCCTTCTTTGAGCCAATGCAGCTTCATTACGCGGCCTCTGCCTTTACTAGCTGCATCACGTAACGTCTTGATGATGAAGAGAGATTAGTAAAATGTCCAAAGCCATTGCGCCGAGTACACGTAATTTCAACAGCATCTCTCAAAGTACTGCAAGTTTTTGACTTTTTAGAAATGAAACTCGTTATACATTAGTACATGTACGACGTCCATACAAGTTGTACATGTGATTCTCTTCCAAACAATCTTGATGGCTTCTGCGTTATTTGTTTTACTATACGCCACTTGCATCAAGCCCTCTTTTACATCATTTCTATATAATATATACCAACACGATCCATAAAAGATACCCATGAGAAAAAAAGTCAAAAAACTCCCATCGGATCTTTCGGTCTCTTCCATCATCACCATACCATTCATTTTACTTGCCTTTTGGCGGTGGGTCATTTCGCAGAAGAGAAAAAAAATTTCACGAGTCTATTTTTTATGTGGAATTCCATCGGTACGTCCATCTTTTGTCTGATGTTATTTAGCCTTTGCGAAAGGCGTCTTCCGTGCCTGTTTCGTGGCGCTGCAAGCCTCACTGGGCTTCCGAAACCCTGTAAGCCTTGTAAGCCACAAAGAAGGTGTAAATTATACCCCCTTTTCCGTGAACGGATACTCTGAAAATCTGGAAGGAATATGGAATGGAAGGGATGTGCCGAGCCACAACCAACACAATATGTAATTCTTACCCCAGGTCGGTCGGAATAGCTAGTTAGAGTGCAAAAAGAGGGTAAAATAACCTTTGGGTGGATGAGATTCATTTTTACAAAGATGCATCGTTTTTTTGCGTAGTTTATACAGAGGGCACTATTTGGATGAAATATGTATGACACATGGAGAGGTGCAGTATAGTATAGTATAATATAGTATAGTATATGGAAGCAGCTATCTAACTCGTGAATAAAAGACAAACCAGAAACCGGAAATCAAAATGCAAGAGATCCCCTCCAGTGGTATCATCAAGCATACTCAACGCCTTTACCCACCCCCCTCAAGCCGCACGTAAAATGCTGGATGCATGCCTCAGTCTCTGAAAACGAATGAAGAGAGAGCGAAGAATCCCGTAAACAAAAGAAAAGGTCATGTCATGTCATGTCAAGTCAGGCATATCCAGGCCTCATAGATGGAGCGCCAAATGATTTCCTGTGAATAGGAAAAGCCTAAAATGACAAGAATCTTTTCAAATCGCCCATAGTTTCCCTCCCATATACCCATTTCCGTAAAATGCCAAACCATATGAAATCAAATTCCGTGAGCCTGCCCGAATGGTATTTTTGTGGCCTGAAGCCTCCCTTTATCGCAAATGCAGCCAACCAAATGCATTGATAGATACTTATAAAAAGAAGAAGAAAAAAGGAAACAAATGACCGAATATGGTAAAAGTTGTAATGGAAAAAGAGAAAGACCAAATGATGAGCCCATTTCTCCTTCCCATTCCATCATTCAAATCGAGCCGGCTGATGCTCAATGCTGGCCAAAGGCCCAATTACGGCGTCGGTTGAGCGGCGTCACAGTTGGACGGTCGTTCAACGCGGTCGGCGTCGGCTCACCATCTCGTGCTGCGGGCACATGCTTGGTAACTGACACGATGACGGTTGGAGCAGCGACCTGAGCATCGCTGGTGCGAGTTGAAGTCACCGCCAAGGTTGTAATCGAGGTGATGGTTGTGGTCGAGGGCGTGTGCGTGTGCGAAGCCGCAGCAGCTTGAGTGTGGATTGTCGTTGTCACAAAGACAACAGGGCTCGAAGCAGAGGCTTTTGATGGCTGCTCGGGAGCATTGCCAGTTGGAGCGGCAGATGGCTGGGCAATTCCCTGCCTGGCAGCCGAGGTGTGCGCCTCGTGAGGAGCAGCCGAAGTGGAAGTGACGGGAGTTGCGCCAGGGCCGCCTTTGGCTCCTCCATTGGCATCAATGTCGACCTGGAAGTTGCCAACCATCTGGTCCTTGATGGCCATGGAGTAGATGTTCTGCTTTTCGATAAACTCGCCGTTGATGTTGGCGTGCTTGGCCGAAGACGAGCCGCCACCTGTAATCTTGATATCGATGGTGCTGGCGTAGCTCTCGTTCTTGGAAATGGCAGCCATGGTGAAGCCGTGGGGGTCCTTCTCGCCGCGCATAAATGTGCCGGCCCAGGGGTACAGGCCATTTGTGGTCGCCTGGAAGTCGATGTTGGTGGCGTCCAGGTCGGGCCAGTCCCAGTACCAGTAGATTGTGTAGACGGAGCCGGCTTTGAGGTCGCTGGGCAGCTGGATGGTGGACTGGCAGCCGAGCTCAGTGTTGTGGTCGGCACCCTCAGGGGCCAGTCTGGCGGCTCGCTCAATGCTGAGAGCACCGTTGTTGGGCTGGTAGCAATTGCCGTCGTCGTAGCTCCGCGTGCCCAGCAGGACGCCGCGCTTGTCGCCTCCCGTGCCGGCCTTGTTCCAGACAAGATGCACGTCAAAGAGGCGCTCGTTCTCCTTGGGCTGGCTGGTGCCGTAGAGGAAGATGGTGCCGCGGTTCTGCGGCTTCCTGGGCTGGTTCTGCGGCAGCGTCGTGTGGCCGTTCTCCAGGTGGATGAGGGCGATGTGGTCGCCCGCAGCGGCTTCCAGCATAGGGAACTGAGGGTTGTCCTCCTTCTTGAACTTGTTGAGGATCTCGTCGCCCGAGTAGGCACTTTGGCCCGTCAGCGGCAGAAGCAGCTGGGGGATCTTGTCCTGCCACAGCGGGTCGGTAGAAGTGCGAGCAATCCAGCCACGGGGATAGCCCTCGGCTCCAATCATGGTGCCGTTTGGGGCGACCTTGTAGGCGCGCTCAATCCACGAGTGAGCGTTGGCGGCGGCGGCGAGGGCCAAGACCAGGGCCACCTTGAGGCCAACGCGAGGCTTGGGCGTCATTCTCAACATTGTAAAGTCGCGTGTGGAAAAGATGGAAAAGCTGTTGAATTGAAAATAGTGACTGTGTTGTTGCTATAACTGTCGAACAGGTAAGGACCGAGTCGGAAGACGATATCAAGGAATGAAGTGCTTCTTTAAATCTCTCCAGGAGAAAAAGCAGAACCAAAATGCGACCGTGATCAAGTTTGTTATGGGTTTTGTTTTTTAGAAGAAGAGAAAGAGAGAAAAGACGAGGCGAAGAGGTGTAAATATAGACTGCCAGCTGGCGAAGACGAGGAGGCCGGTCCGCCTGCTTATAGCTCTCGAATAATGGGTGGTGTTCAGGTGGTGAACAGCTGTTGCCTTCTTTCTTTTTTTGATTTCCACTTTTTTTTTCTGTGTACGTGAACAGTCTTGCAGCACAGTGTTCAAATGTGTTGTTTGTGGGTTTCTGTTCTTGTGTATCTTTGTGTTCACTCAGAGGTGCAATGTGATGGAGCCGAGTATCTTTGTCGAGGATGTCGAGGGAAGAGGGTGAATCACGTCCAGCGTCGTTCAGGCCCAGTGAATTGGAGAGAGGTGGGTAAAGATTGAGATGGTCTTGAATATTTTCAGGTAGAAAGAGAAAGAAGAAATAGAAGAAAAGAAAAAGGGAAAGGGAAAAGTCTTCTGTCACCTTGCCATCATCAGTATCGTCTCACAAGCTTGAACAATCGGAAGTTGTGACAATCAGCCCACACACAATAGGCAAGCCGGCACAATAGTCAAACGGAAATGCAAAGTCCAGGTGGCTTGAATTAGAGACAGAGATGATGGGATGATATATGATAAAAGTTCAGCCGCAAAGACGCAAAGAAGGTGGAACTAATATATTGCCTGACGACCCGAATCTCAACACCATACAGCAGAAAAACAACACGATCCTCAAGCTGAAGCATCTCACCGCGCCAGCTGGCTTCAACGGCAGCCTATCATCGACACGCCATCGCTCGGCATCAAATGGCCGCTGGACATGGCCGGACATGAGACAGACGCCGGGCAGTGCAGCCGAGAATAGAACAGAGCAGAGCAGAGTAAGAAGCAGAGCAAGATGGAGTCAGTTGTTAGTGAACCAGCAGATGCTGGGCATGGCAGAGAAGCCATTGGCGAGGAGGCCACTCCAAGGCCCTCGTTTCAGCAGACGCGAGTTGGCCGTAGCAGGTTGCGAGACGCACAAGAATCGAGCCGTGGTCGGTTCAAGTTGATGTTTGCGGCAGCATCAAGATCCGACAGTGGCACAGGCCTTGATCGGGACCATGTACCTGCGCACCAGAACCTCGCAGCAGCAGTACATGCAAGCACTACTGGAAACAGCCTCAAGAATCTCATGCATAGGCCGCCAGCACGTTACTAGGCACTGCATTTCCAAATTAATACTGGACGTCTGCAGTGGCCCAGGCCCATTCATTTGCCTAAGCGCCGCGCATATTGGCCGTCGTTGTTTAGCCTTGCCCGGGGCGATGCAAGCGACTGGCTCTCATTCGCCGCCACTGCCGACCAGCTGCGACCTCAAACGCTCTCCAATATATAAAACAAGAAACCTGCCATTGCAGTCATTCGATCAGCAGATTTCGGCTGCGGCACACAAGTTGAAGCAAATTTCTCTTCCTTTTTTTTCTTTGATGCAGCCCGGTGGATTCAATGCCACAATTGCTTGCATCATCGTGCATGAGCTGCTGCTTCACATATTCGCATCTGACCCTCTTTCAGACTTCCCCCACAGCCATCATCAAATTGATGCAACGTGTATGCCTGAGGGTTTTGTACTCAAGTGCCCCGATTTGTGCTTCCATCCTTTGTCCGCCGTCTCGTTTCATTTCTTTGTCCTCGACCCTTGTCTCGCAGGCGCTTAATCTGCGCTTCCCTGTTCCCTGTTCAGTAACACACGCGAATCGACTCATACAGCATCGGCGTAGCATTCCGCTTAGCCGCGGCCGCGCTTCTTCTCTCTGAGCATGGGATCAAATGCGATTGATACGCTGCTGGGGTAAGATGTAGATGATTTTTTGGCCTCTTTGCGAGTACATGTACCCAACGCCCAGCGGTGCGGGCTCTCGATATAGCCCGCGCACCTACGTAGATGGCACTACTATCTAACCCTTGCCTCCACTCTCTTCTTCTTTTGACATATTTCCAACATGTTGATTATGCAAAAATGGCTCCCTCTCCTCAAGAAGTTACTCGGCAGACGCAACCCGTGTTACCCGCAACTCTCCACCCCAGGCTGCACCATCGACTAGAGCGTCAACGGTCAGAACAGACGCTCATTCATTTCCAATAGAAAGCAAATACCAAATCCAACTACCTGTCCACCATAAGTTTCACATTGGATCCGGGCTCGCCGACCTAATCGGCTCCGCCAGTATCCGCGGCACCACCTCCCGCATCCAGGGATGCTCCAGACACTGCCTGGCCGTAAACCGCTTCCTAAAGTTCACCACCAGCATGTTATCAATCAGATCCAAGGCCGGGTCGCCGACCTTGTCCCAGTATGGCGACGGATAGTCGAATCGGCCCTCCTTGATTTGCTGGGCGAGCATATACGGAAAGTCTTTGCTGTACAATTCGTCGCTAAAGGGCGGGAAGCCACATAGGCAGATGTACATGACGACGCCGCAGGACCAGATGTCTACCGAGAATCCGTATCTTCTCTCTCTGCCTTCTTCAAGTACCTCGGGGGCCACGTCTAGGAGCAAAAATGTCAGCAGATGTTCTGTTTCATGGTCTGAGGGGGATAGATAAGATGCAGAAAAGAAAGTATCAGACTGTCATACAGCTCGGAGTTCCACAAAGGGTCGTCGTGAGCCCCAATGCTTCAGCGTCGGCGCCAAGTTTTTTTGCCAGCCCAAAGTCTGCAATTTTGATGGTTGGCGTCTCTTCGTCCAGTAACAAGATGTTCTCTGGTTTGATATCACGATGCACCCATCCTAGGCCATGCTACCCCTATTATTAGATCTCGACACATGGAGATATGGAGCGGCTGAAGAGAAACCAACCATGAATTCTAGCGCAGAAAACAGCTGCAAGAATATCTTTCGCGTCTGTTCTTCCGGTAAAAATTGCCTTGCCACGATATAGTTGAAAAGCTCCCCATGCGGGGCCAGCTCGAGCACCAAGTAAATCGTTTTGAGAGAGTAGTCGGCGAATACATCGACAATCCTCAAGACGTTCGGATGCGGATTCTTTTGGAGCGCCTGCAGGGCTTTGATCTCCCAAATGATGCCACTTCGTACTGCGGCATCGTCTACTGCGTCGGTGCATGTACATACTTTGACTGCATGCCTCACCCCCGTCACTCTGCTTGAGCATAAAAACACGTCAGCAAAGTGACCTTTACCAAGTCTTTCAACCATTTCATATCGCTTAGAGAAGCCAGTGTTGTAGCTCGTCTCTTCCAACGCATCCAAGAAGTCATCCGTGCTGGATTCATCTGCTCCGGAGTCTGCTCCCAGTGCCTCTGGTCTCCTCATACCAGACGCTGCTATTTCTTCCTCTTGAATGGCATTTAACCCTTCCATGAGTCTCGAGCTCTGCCGCCGCAGTGGCCTGTCGGCAACAGTGTCGTAATTGGCCGTGAGTTTCCGGACGAGCTGGTGTAGACCCTTGCGAGAGGCAATGATGGAGGCACGACGCCCAGCGGGACCCTTGGGGAGAACTGCCCCCTGATCCGAGAGGAAGTTGGCAATGACTTCCAGACCATTGCGCGTTGCAATGCTCAAGGCTGAATCTCCCCATACCGTTTCCGCTTTGAAATCGGCTCCCGCTTCCACTAGGATTCTGACGGCCTCAATGTTGGCGCTAGAAACTGCAGACATGAGCGCAGTCCAATCACCGGATGCTCTCAAGTTGACGTCTGCCCCTTTATCGAGTAATACGTTAATCACGTCTTCATACCCGCATCTTGCTGCTCTCTGCAGCGCCGTCTCATCCATGTGATCTCGAGCATCAACTTCGGCGCCGAGTTCAAGGAGCACTTGCACGTTCTGGGCGTGGCCAAAGGCAGCAGAACGAATCAGAGCCGTCTCCCCATCGCTGCCTCTGTCATCAACTGCATGGCCTTTTGAGACCATGTATCTTAGAATATCTGATACTTCAAAAGCAGAGATCATCACGAGTGCAGGCACATGTCTAGGGAACTCCTGGCTCCAATGTGTATACCGATTAGCCTTCAAACTCCATGCTTGGTTGGCAGCCTCCAACGCGGCAGTGTTGGAAATGAAGGTTTCCAGCTTTGGTATAATTTCGGCACTCTCAATATGAACAATTTCGGTGCCCCAATATTTGGCAGCGTAGTCAAGAAACGGATATTGCTCCAAGCGGAGAGACATGTCAGCATCGTTTGTGCAGGCGCCACTGGAAAAGTTGGGCAATGCTAGATATGTCAGACTGGTTCTCGTCAGAGTCAGCTGTGCCCTTTTTATCAACAGTTTGTGAGATTCTTCAAAGTATTGCTGAGCGGTATAGTGGACTAGACGGACGACTTGCGATTCCGCATCAACCATGACCAAGCCGCTGCAAGCCTCCGTTAAAATATCGCCATCTGGCAAGTCATCTTCTTCGAGTAATTCTCCGTCTGGCAATTCCTGCGTGGCATATAGATGCTGCAAGTCCTGGACTGTAAAGTTTCTTCTGGCACAAATGACCCAGAACAGCACTGCCTCGGCCAGCTCAGCGAATTCTGTTTCTTGATTCTCTATCCT